CAAGAGGTACCCACACAGAGTCAGATTAAAGGATGCCATTGAGACGCTTCTGGAGTAGATAATGACGGGTAAGCCTCCGTAATCTATCGATGTTGCCTGCAATCGTTATGTCCACATTCCAACCTGGCGTGGGGTGGGCGCCGGAGTAGGAGTGGTGTGACTGCTCCTGTGGTGCGGGCGACGGCTTCTGAGGAAGCCGTCGCCCGCGCCTCGTGGAGCACTTGGAGTGCAGTCATCAACCTCACATCCACAGGGCTGGGGAGCTGAGGAGCGCACCCAGCGGGCCGGATGATCGGTATCGGGTTACGGGCTAGAGAGCCCTACCTAGCCCCGGGGGTGCGCGTTCGCAGGGCAAGGGCCATGCACTTGGAGCACTTGGAGTGCAGTCATTAACCTCACATCCAGGGCCGGGGAGCTGAGAAGCGCACCCAGCGGGCCGGATGATCGGTGTCGGGTTACGGGCTAGAGAGCCCTAGCCCTGGTGTGTGTGAGTGAGTATTCTTGATACGAAACCACGTCGACGACACACACCAGTCGACTCGTATCGGTTGCCTCCATGAACGGCGGAGCCATTCTCGCGCCCACACCACACCTGGCTCCAACGTGGACACGCCCATAGCTGGGGACACGACTAGGTCATGCATGGCATCAGAAGTTTTATCTCTGGGCCCCGAAAGGCATCTCTAGCAGCGTCGTTACGCATGCGCCCTCCCCTCCTGGGCGCATGCGCCTCACGTCTCGCCAGAGCATAAGCCCTTGGCGTGTGGCGAGACGAGTTTTTCGCCATCGCAGCGAGCAGCAAGCCACCCGCCGCAAACAGCCGGAGGCATCGCCACGGCACTGACTGCGCCGCGGTCCCGCACCCGTCGACGAAGCTCCCCCCGCGGAAGACCGCGCGTAGCGACGCCTTGACGATCGAGATGAGCGCGCTCGAGGCTCGCCCACCTACTGCCCCTGAGAGTTGGTTATGAGTGGGCTCGGCTCCCCCCCTTGGGATCGAAGCTTCCACGACCTCACACCCAACAGCACAGGTGGGATCAGAGAGACTCCACACCGGACACCGCCCGGGCACAGACTGAGACTCCCTACCCATCGGATTGCACAGGGCCCCTCAGGAGCTTAGGTACAACCACGCGCCCCTCAGGAGCTTAAGGTAGAGTGGAGCGTCCCAGACGCCTCGGTGCCTCCCACCGGGTGAGACCATCCGGATCTGCCCAGCCCGCCCTCCGGACAAGCTGGTCCCCGCGATGGCCCACGGTCCTCCGTCACCAGGGTTGAGCCCCCTGCCTCCCGGTTGACCCCCCAGTCCTCGTACTCCACCATTAAATAAACTCAATGGTCCACCACAGCCACCAGCCTCCACCTCCACCGTCGAGCCGCGATCGCTGCCGCCCGCGACGCCGCCCGCCGTGTCAGATGCCCGCGACGCGCGCGTCCAGTCGAGTCGGAGAGCCGCGCCGCACCACCAGCAGCATCTGCACCAGCAGCAGCACCACCAGCAGCAGCAGCAGCAGCAGCAGAGAGGCGCCACTTTTGAGGTTCCCCGCGACAGCCTGGAGATGGCCCCGCGTTGTAGCCCCACGCCATGCCTCCGGTTGGAGCTGGCGTCGGGCGCCGGCGCGGTAGAGGCGCCGCTGGGCTGCCGGACGCGGCGAGGCCGCTTGTTCATACCCGGGGAACGCGGGCGTGGCCACCGGCGGCGGAGCCGGAGCAGGGGCGGGAGCTAAAGCAGCGGCGGGAGCTGGAGCAGCAGCGGGAGCGGCGTCAGCTGTCGGCGGCTCGCTCGAGCGCTGCTGGCGAGGGCGCCGAGAGCGGACGTCGGCGAGGCGCGAGGGGAGGATGGACGTCGCGTCGTACTCACGATTCCGCCACCACCACCGGCTGTTCCGGCGAGGCAGTCGACAGACGGCCATGCAATTCGATTTTTCTTTTCCAACAGTCCCGAAAAGAAAATCCCACCCACCAGGTGTGCGGAAAATTCCTTGAACCGCTCAACGATGCGCCTCTTGCCACTCTCGAATCCGCCCGCGCAGCGCGTGGTTTGGGGTGAGGATGCTATGCTCGAGCGCCTCGCCCGTCATCGGGCTCGTCGACTTGGTGGCGAGCCAGCGCTCGATCTGCTTCCGCTCGTAGGAATGGCCGTCCGTCGCCATCACCGGGTCGCTCATCACCTCGGTCGTGATGGGGCAGATGAAGTCGGCCGGCGGCGGCTCCTCCTCCCTCGGCGGCGCCTCTGGCTTGGGCGGCTCCTCCTCCTCTCTCGGCGGCGCCTCCGGCTGGGGCGGCTGCTCCTCCGCCACCCGCCTCTCCGCCTCCAGCCTCGCGCTCTCCTGGAGCGCTGCCGCCAGCTCCGCCTCCTCCTCCGCCGCCATCGCCCCCCCCTCCGCCGCCGCAACCGCCTCCGCCTCCTCGCCTTCCGGCTCCTGCGACGGCCCAGCGCCGCTCCCTCCGCCGCTGCCCTTCTTCTTCTTCTTCTTCTGGTTGGCCTTGCGCTCCTTGGCGCGCTGCTCCGCCTCCTTCTCCGCCTCCTCATCCGCCAGAAGCGCTTCCGCGTTCCGATCCGCCGCCGCCGCCGCCTCCGCCATCTCGGCCTCTCTTGCCGCCGCCTCCGCCGCCCTAGCCTGCGCGCACATGCTCGCAGGCGAGAGGCGGACGACGGTAGTCGTGGGGTCGAAGGCCGCGTCGCCGATCTCGGAGGTGGTTGGCACGGTGACGGAGGCGAGCGAGGGGCAGCCTTCGAAGGCGGCTTCGCCGATGGAGGTAAGGCTGGCGGGGAGGGTGACGGAGCCGAGGGCCTCGCAGGCGTCGAAGGCGCAGTCGCCGATGGAGGTGAGACCGGCGGGGAGGATGACGCGGGCGAGGGCGGAGCAGCCGGAAAAGACAGCGCAGCTGATGGAAGTGAGGCCGGCAGGGAAGGCGACACGGGTGAGAGAGGAGCAGCGGAAGAAGGCGGCCTCGCCGATGAAGGTGAGACCGGCGGGGAGGGTGACGTGGGTGAGAGAGGAGCAGAGGTGGAAGGCGCTGGGGCCGATGGAGGTGAGGCCGGCGGGGAAGGTGACGGTGGTGATGAAGGGGCAGTGGGCGAAGGCGCCCATGCCGATGGAGGTGAGGCCGGCGGGGAGGGTGACGGAGGGGAGGGCGGAGCAGCGGCGGAAGGCGTGGTTGTTGATGGCGGTGAGGCCGGCAGGGAGGTCGATGGAGGAGAGCGAGGAGCAGCCCTCGAAGGCGCTGCTGCCGATGGAGGCAAGGCTGCGCGGGAAGGCGACCGAGACGAGAGTGGTGCGGTCCTGGAACGCCTTGTCCGGCAGGTGCGTCATGCCCTCGGGCAGCACCGCGTGCCCGTCGGTGACGACGACCTGCCAGCCGCCCACGTCCAGAGTCTCGGAGCCGGTCGGCGAGAGCGCCGTCTGGTCGGCGAGCATCTGGTCGGCGAAAGTCACCGGGTCGTCGAGTGCCTGGACGGCGAGAGACAGTGTCCTCTTTGAAATATGTCCGCGTTGCCTGGGTTGAACCCGAGCGAGCGAGCGTCAGAGCTGGCTGGGAAGAAAAAGGGCGCCAAGTTTTTCTTTCAATGGGGGACTGTCGCTTTCTGACACATGAATGTTTGATCTCTCCCCGCCCTGCAAAAGCTCGATGTGGGGTTGTCCCTCTGCTCAGAGGCTCCGAGCGACGCCTTCTGAGCGCAGTGCCAGTGGCGGTGCAGATGGCTCGCTTGCTTCGATTCAGCTCTCTCGGCAGCAGAAGTGGGGCTGGAGCGGGTGGGGGTGGATGCCGATTGAGGGGGAGCGTCTCCAGCTGCGCCCTGTGGCAGCTGCGCCCTGTGGCAGCTAGTCGAGGGACTTGGTAGTTGTGACCCCCCTGAGTGAGGACAGGAGAGAGAGAGAGCGTTTTGTGGTGTTGGTGTACGCAATAACGGGACAGGGTGGTTGTTCTCTCTATCTCCTCTTCTAGCTCTTAGCATGAGCTGCGCCCGGTGTCCGACCCCTTTTGCGCAGCAACACCTTAAACTTTTAGGCCCTCCAAATTCGGGTCGGAGCGTAGCGGAGGTGGGCCCCGAGTTTGAAAAGGGCGACGGACGCTTGCGTCCTAGCCTCCAACAACGCCTCCCCGGCGCAGAGGGGCCCCCGGAGGGATGCACAACCGCTCCACGCCACGCCGCTTGCGGCGGTCCTCTTCCCAGCTCCGCTGAGGGCCCGTTCGTTATTTACTTGTTTTCATGGGAATTCGGCGTACTTGCGGCCATGCTATCACGCCTTGCGACAGCCTGTCGGCGCAGCTGACCGTGCCATGATGCACAATTGATCACCTGCATAGCTCGCGGCCTTAGTATTAAGCATTCAGTGACGACCTGATCGTACGGCCAGTAGGAAGGTGTCCTTCCAGCTGCGTGCACGCTTCTGGCGCAATGCGCGTCACCTCGGATGGGCTGCTGGCACTCTCGAGGCTATGCCTACACAGCCTCGCGCGCATGGGCAGTCAAGAGGGACCACGCACCTTCTCAGGACAGCGCCGGTGCCTCTCTCTTGGACCGGCAAACTTGGTGGTCTCGTGTCACCAATGTGGGACCAGTGCGGCATCGCGCCATCGACAGCTCTGAACTGCGCCTCACCACTGACCGGGAAGGCCGCCAAGTGGGCCAGCACAGGTCGCACATTGTGGCAGCAGTCAGCAGTGCATGGCTGATAGCTAGAGCAGCAGCGTCAGGGTCGCAGGGTCGGATCGTGTCAAGCCTCTCGCCCGGCCGGCCGCGTGCAGACGTCGGCCTGTCTGCTGTCTGCAGTGATCTGTCGGCGGTCAGTACGACCGATCAGGTCGGAGTTTTCTGATGGTTGGAGGGTCTATCTGTATGTACTCCTCGAGATCTCTCCAAATCTGCCCTCTGATTAACCTAGCTTAATCGGGAAGTCGGTGCTCATAGAGACTCATAGAGCCGGAGCCCCGTTTCCGCACTGCTGCGCGGCGCACGGTGTGGGCCGGGGGCCCCCGCACCGGCCCAGAGTGGACAGCGGACCATGCTCGAGCCGCGACTGCCACTGGGACTGGTGGCCATGGCCTAGGAGGCTCGTGAGGCCCTTGCACATTCTCTCTGGCCCGATCTCCACCACCCTCAACCGCCAAGATGTCCCAAAAGCCAATGTCGTTGCCAGGGCTCGGTGCACCCTATATGCGACCGCCTCTCCAACGAGCAAATGTTCGCTCTCCTCCTGGTAATTCTCACGGCGGGTCGCTGAGGGCAGCAACGCCGGTGGTCGGCGAGCGCACCTCGATTCATCGCAGTGAGGCAGTACTCACAGCTCGCAGGTAGCGAGGCGATGATTCGCTCCTGTATGCGACAGCGGATAGCGTGCGAGGGCGGCGCGAGCTGGACGCGGCACAGTGGGCATCGGCGGGAGGGGAGGCGCCAGTCGCAAGAGGCACAGAATATGCAGCCGTTTCTGCACTGATGCTGCTCGCCGTCCCTGATCTCGTTGCAGATTGGGCACTCGGGGTCCAGGCTTGGGTTGATGTCCACAGCTCGTGGGCAGGTAGATGATGCCTCGCGAGGAGGTGTCATTGGCCACTCTCGCTGAGTCGGCGTTATGCCGCACGAGAGCTCACGCGCCCTCGCTCGCTCGCACGCCGACGTCGCGTCAAAACGTTCGTTGCTGTCAAAATGGATGAGGAGTAAAATGAAAAGAAAAAATGTGAAAGAGAAAAGAAGGAAGAGAAGATACAAATCTTGCACTAGATTCATTCATTACTCCAAAAAAGAACTCACCGGGCCCTGTGGCTTCATTTCGATTCATTGAGGTGTCCCATGGGCTGCGACATCCACCTCAAGCTGGAGCGCTGTGTGCACGAGATCGACCCTGGGACTGTCCGCGCACGCATCATCCTCTTGATGATCGCCGACCGCGCAGAAAAAGGGGCGGTCGATGACGATGAAGCGGCTGCCGTCGACAGGATGCCGCCAGAGCTGTGGCGCCGTTGCGCGCAGCTCGTGCCCGTCACCACTTCTCTCGACCGGTGGGTTGCGTGCCCCTTTGGCGACTGGCTCGTCGCTGACCGAGCGCAGTTTCGCAGCCAGCTCCAGGCGTATGAAACCAGGTTTGCGGAGGCCGAGGCACAGGAGTGGCAAAAGGTGTACGCGATCCAGAAGGAGGGCATGGGCGTCGACGAGCTCGATGAGGAAACGCTGGACGAGATACACTGTGAGTACGAGCATGACGTACGCTACAACGCCCTTTTGGCTGCGGCGCCGCCTTCCTTCTCCGCGCCCAATTACCGGAGTGGCATCCCCGGCCGCGGCGGCTGGGACGAGGGCTTTGCTACCCTTGGGAATCGCCACTACAACCGGCACGCTGGCCTCGCACGCTGTCGGGTGCCAGCGGAGGCTCTCTAAATCGGAGCTGTCCCTGTAGGTTCGGCCTGCTCAGCACGGCTGTGGGCTCTGTGCGCTCGCAAAAGAGCCTCTCCCTCCAGCAGCTGCGGTGTGTGCGGGATGGCTGGCCTGCGGACGTGCACGAGGAGGCTTGCGAGGACGCCGAGGACCCCAACTTGCACTCGCACGGCTGCTGCACGCTCGAAGGACTCTTCGCCGTGGACTGGGACGTGTCGGTCGATTCGGCAGCCCGCAGCGGCCAAAGCAAGCAGCCCGCAGGACAGTGGAATACGGCCGCCGAGCGCAGACGGCGCGAGCTCACGGACCGCTTCAACGGACTCAAAGAGCTCTTCCCGGAAATGTTCCCCCCGAACCTCTCCGCCGCCGAGATGGAGCGCTGCGTGGCCGAGAAGGTTGCGGAGGTCATGAGGATTGAGGTGCAGCGAGGGAGTTTGAGCGTCGACGGTGACACGGAGCTCGGGCCGTCGGAGGAGGGGGGGGAGGGCGAGGCGAGCGACGAGCCTCGCACGACACGGCGCAGCATCATGGGCGAGGGCGTTTGCGCGGCGCTCGAGGCGCTCGAGGAGAAGATGCTCGCCGCCGGCGCTGTCCCGGCCGACTTCCGCCTGCTCATCTGCTTTGATAACTGAGCGGCTCGCGCTGGACGCTCCGGCGTCAAATTGGCGTCTTTCTACCGTCTAGACCCGCGCCGCTATCTGCCTCGTCGCCGCGCGCAAGCCAACGCACGCCACGCTGTCCTGTACGTTCGGTCGCGTCGCACGTTGCTCGTTGGTGCGAATCTCTGGTCTCTCTCCTGTGATGCTCTCGCAATCTCCCTCTCCACGCAGCTCTCCAGTGTGAGCAGTGTGTCGCAGTCCGCTCCAGTGCACCTTCCACCTTCTCCCACCGCGCAACGTCCACCGTGAGAGTAGGTACCGAGAACCCGCGTACACACGCACATGTTGCATGCCCCCTCTAACCTTTCGCTTTCCCCCAAATGCACAACTGGGACACCTAAAAGTCTGCTCACTCGAGAGCCTCCGCCTGCTGTCTCCTCCGGCCGCCGCGGCCGCGCGCTGAGGACGGCGGCCGCGCCCCGCCCGCACGCCGCGGCCTGCTCGTTGCGGCGCTCAGGTCGAGCGGCCGCGCCTCGGCCGCGCTCGCCTCGGCAGCCGCGCTCTCCTCGGGGGGGCCGCGTGCCGGCGCCTCGCCCGACCCCTCCGCCTCGGCCGCCAGCCACGGGGCGGGCATACCGGGGTTGAACTGCGCGCCGAGCGACGCTGCGAGGGCGCGCACCGAGCCGCTCCTCGCCGTCGACTTGAGCGACTCGAGCGTCTCGTCGCGCTGCTGCCGCCGCCCAGAGGCGCGCGGGGCGCGCACGGGCACCAGGACGCGCGCCGAGTAGAAGGGCTGATGCTGGTGAGCCGCCTGCACGGCGCGCTCCTGCGGCCTAGCGTCGGGCGCCGGCCTCTCGCCCCTGCGCCTGCCAGCCCCCAACAAGCGGCTGGACGGCGTGTCGACCGTCCGCGTGATGGCCGGCGCTGGCGGCGGTGGTGAGGCTGCGGAGGCTGCAGAACCGGCGGCGGCGGCGGAGGCTGCGGAAGCCGTGTGGCCTCCAGCAGCGCCGGCGTGGCAGCAGCCGACCGATTCATCCACTCCAAGCGCCAGAGTGCAGACTGTCGATCGCAAGTGGGGCCGGCGCAGCGCGGATTCCGGCGCGGCAGAGCTCGCTGCGTGTGCCTCTTTCTCCAGCGGCGGCGGCGACGACTGGACGAGCATCTTTGGCGCGAAGCGCTCCGACAGGCTCCGCTGCTCCTCCGCCTCGAGCCGGCGGCTCAGCTCGGCAATCTTTCTCGACGAGCCGCGCCTCCGCCCTCCCAGCAGGGCGGCCGCCGCGTGGGCAGCCTTGGGGGCGCCGCAGAGGCACATGGCGAAGGTGTCGGAGGCGAGGTCGATCCGGAACTGGTCGCAAGCCACGCCGCCGCCGCGGTCGGAAGGAGTGGAGCCCCTCCCGTGTTGCACCGCGGGGCTGCTGCCGGGCTGGGCCGCGGCGCTGCTGCTGAGCGGCGGGGCCGTCGCCTTGCCGCGCGGCGAAACCCTTGCCGACGGCCCGGGCGCGGCCGCTGCCGCCTCGTTGAAGACGGACCAGCGGGGGAGCCCTCCCAACTTGCGAGAGGAGCCTCCGCCGGCGGCCTGCAACGCAGCGCTGCTGTGGTCCGCCTTCGGGAAGCCGCACACGCACGCTCCAAACGTCGCGGCCGCCATGTCGAGGCGGTACGATTCGCACGCCCTCTTGGCGCTACCAGCCGGCGGAGAGGTCGGCGCGGCCGTGGCCGGCCCCTCGGGCGCGTCCTCCTGCTCCAGCGCGCCGCTGCCACTGCTCTCCGCCGCCGCCCCGAGGCGAGTCGTCGCTGCCGCCCCGCCCCGACCGCCTCTGGAGACGACGGCCGCGTTCGAGGCGGCACCTCCCTGCTCGACCTTCCGAGGCGCCACCTCCTCCTCCGCACCAGCAATCACCTCCTCATCCACACAAGCACCCTCCACCGCCTCCGTCTGGGCAGCGGCCGCCGCTGCCGCCGCCGCCGCCTCCGCCGCCTCCGCCGCCTCCTCCTCCGCCACCACCGCCGCCGCCTCCGCCGCCTCCTCCTTCGCCACCACCGCCGCCGCCTCCTCCGCCTCCGCCTCCGCCTCCGCCGCCGCCTCCGCCTCCGCCGCCGCAGCTGCCGCGGCCTCAGCCTCTGCTTTCTGCTGCTCCTGCAGTCGGCGCTCCTCCTCCTCTCTCGCTCGCTCTCTCGCCCGCCGCTGAACCTCGGCCTCGCACGCACGCACCGCCGCCTCCAGGGCAGCCGTGGCCGCCTGCCTCCGCTCGACCGCCGCCGCAGGCAAACACACGGCGACGGCGTCGCCCCCGTCGCGCCAGAGCGCCGCGAGGTCGGAGAGGGCTTCGAGCGCCGCCGCGCTGTCCTCGCGCCCAAGCGCGTCCCGCGCCACCGCCTCTGCCAGCGCCAGAGCTGCGAGCGCGCGACGCGCACGGCGAGCAATAGCGGCGCGGCCTTGCGCCTGCGCGGCACAGGGGCTCTCCAAGCTGAGGAGAACGAATGCCCGTGGGCTGCGATGGGGCGGCGAAACGGCGATGCGGCGATGCGGCGATGCGGCGATGCGGCGATGCGGCGGGCGGCGATGCGGCGGGCGGCGGGCGGCGGGGGCGGCGGGCGGCGATGCTGCGGGCGGCGGCGGACGGCAACGCTACAGGGCGGCGTGCGGCGCGCCTGTATGGCGGTCGTGGCGCGCGCCCACGCCGAGAGCTTTGCCGCCTCGAGGCGCGAGACGAGCTGCTCCTTGAGAAACACCTGTGCGTGGCGATGAGCCGAGATAGCGCCGAGATTCGCCGAGATTCGCCGAGATTCGCCGAGATTCGCCGAGCTGCTCCTCGAGACTCACCTTTGTGCGGCCTAGCGCCGACCCCTGTGGGACGTGTCCTGGACGTGTCGTGGACATGTCTGGGGCAAGCGGGGACGTCGCGCGGGGAGGACGACCTCCTCGGCCCAGCGGGCCGTCTCGCCGAGCAGCGCCGCCGCGCCTCGCAGCAGCAGGCTGCACGCGGCGTCCAGCTCGCCGCCCTGGGGCGGGGCGGAGCCGGCGGCCGCGGCGGCGGCCGGCGCGATGCAGCGGTACGAGTTGAGGAAGTGCAGCTTTGGCATCGAGACCGGGAAGCCGACCTTGGACACGTCGATGACGGAGAGGACGCCGGTGCACGCGAGCTGCCGCGCGACATACTCGCCTGCGAGGGCAGACTTCCGAGAAGGCTCCGAGAAGGCTCCGAGAAGGTTCCGAGTGCTCCGCCGCCGGCGAGGGAGAGAGGCAGAGAGGCGCCGCTCCCCCCTCGCCTCGACTGCCCGGGCCGCCACAGTGCCGGGCGGCCCGGGGGGGCGGGAGAGACACGAGGCGCGCACACACACGCACCGTCGAACTCGCCGGCGGCCTGCGTGTAATCTCGGACAATCTCACGCAATCTCACGCAATCTCGGGCGAGCACCGTCGAACTCGCCGGCGGCCTGCGCGGTGTTCGGCTTGATGCACCTCACGTAGTGCGCCGCCGTCGTCTCGAGCGTCGTCGACAGCGCCGCGAGGGAGGCGCGGAACGCGGCGAGGACGGTCGTGCGCCCCATGCCGCCGCGAGGCGTGCCTGCGCGAGACATGCCCTGGACATGTCCGGGACATGTCCTCGAAAGTGCCGTCCGCGCGCCTTGCAGGCATGCCGGCGAGTGCCTGCAAGCTGCGGGTCGGAGGAGACGTCTCGCGGCGGCGGGAAGAGCTGCTGCAGCAGCGGGCAGCGCGACGAGGCGAGCAGAGCCCCAAGCTCGGGCGGGAACTGAGAAGGGGGTTGGGGCGGGGTGGGGGGCGGGGGGGGCGGGGGCGGGAGGGCGGGGGCGGGAGGGCGGGGGCGGGAAGGCGGGGGCGTGGGGCGTGGCGAGTGGCGAGGGCCTGCTGCCGGTTCCGCTCTATCCAGCCGTCGACGGTGTAGGTGACGTCAGCGGCATAGTGGCGCACCACGAACTGCGGCGACGGCTCCTGCTAATGATGGGTGGTCAGCTCTCACGTGTCGCTCATCAGGCACCGCTCGCCGCGGCGACGCCTCCGCCTCGCCGCCGCCGGGTCCGCCGAATGCGCCCGTCAGCCGGCCGAGGCTGAGGCCCACCGTTGCCCAGCCGGCCCTCGCCACTGCGGGGCCGCCTCGCTGCTGCCGCGCCGGCGGCGGCCGCGCAAAGACGTGCGACGCGGTCCTACAGTCCAGCAGCGCCGCGGCGGTGGCGCCCAGAGGCGGCCCCTTTCCCCGCCCCTCCCCCCCGCAAGGCGCGCGAGACACGCCTACAGCCAGAGCCTCATGGAGGGGGCTAGGAGAGACGGCTCAGAGGTGGCGGGCTCGCCGCGCGCGGAAGCGCGGCGGACCAGGCGGAGCGGAGCTTGTCGACGTACGCTCGCTCGCTGCCTACTCGACACACGGACGTGCTCGGCGGCACTCGTGCGTGGTGCGTGGTCGAGCCTGCCGACGTGCGCTGGTTTGCCGCGCGGGAGGGAGCACTCCTCGTCCAGCAGCCGCATGACGCCGCCGCGCCCGTCGAGCAGGGCGATCTGCGCCGCATTGTCTGGGCAGGTTGCCACCGCCGCGCACGCGATGCCCTCCGCCTAGCCTCGGGTGATCTCGGGTGATCTCGGGTGATCTCGGGTGATCTCGGGTGATCTCGGGTGATCTCGGGTGATCTCGCGTGGCCTCGGGTGGCCTCGCGTGGCCTCGCGTAATCTCGCGTGATCTCGGCGGATCGGGGCTCTTCTCGGGCCTCGTAGTCGCGCAGGCAGAGCTCGGCCGCGGCGACGATGAACTGCTTCTGCAGCTTCTCGTTCGCGTAGTTGATGCAGAGCTGCTCAAACGAGTTGACCGGAAAGTTCTCAAAGCCAAAGATGTCGAGGATGCCGATGAAGCGACCCGTGTCGCCGCCGCCGCCGCCATCGCCGCCGCCGCCATCGCCGCCGCCGCCATCGCCGCCGCCGCCATCGCCGCCGCCGCCGTGGCAGCCGTTTCCGAGGCCGCTGCCGTCGTGGGCGACTCCGGCGCGCGTGCCTTCGATCATGTGCCGGTTGATTGCGGCGTGATCTCGATCTCGTGCGATCTCGTGCGATCTCGTGCGCTCTGGGGTGCCCTCGGTCATATGCCGGTTGACTGCGGCGACGATCCAGTCGAAGAGGCGCGCGTAGATGTCTTTTGCGAGGGCGTCGCGCACGTCGACGCACTCGCCGGTGCGGAGTGGCTTGAGCACGCCTTGGGGGGACGGAGCCGAGATGGGGCCGAGATATGGCCGAGGTAGGGCCGAGATATGGCCGAGGATGGCCGAGATACAGCCGAGGCATGTCCTGGGCGCAGCCGAGATATGGCCGAGGATGTCCGAGAGACGTCCGAGACATGTCCGAGAGATGCCCGAGAGATGTCCGAGTCGAACACTCCTGCGTCTGAGGCGCGGGGCCTGCCAGCTCGAATGTGACGCGCGACGAGCGCTTCGTGCAGCGGCTGCTGCTCCACCCGCAGGAGCGAGGCGAGCAGCGCCAGCTCCGCCGCAGGGAGGGAGGCGCACCCCGCGTGCGCCGACGCGGTGAGCTCCGCCGCGGCGTCGTCGGGCGGCACCCCCGACGCGCCGCTGGTGGGCGAGGAGGGGGGCGAGCAAAGAGAGCCGCGCCGCTCCGGGTCAGTGAACCAGACCTGGCCGAGAGTGAGCACTGCAGCGAGCGTGCGCCGCACGGCCGCGGCAAGCTGCGCGCCGAGACCGATCGCCGCCAGCTTGGCCTCCGTCTCCGCCCACTCGGCCGCCGCCTCGCCCCTCGCCTCGGCGGCCGACGCGCCGTCGGCGGCGGAAGAGACGGAGGGCCCCGAGGCGGAGGGGCGGAGGTAGGCGTACTCGCTCGCGTCCGACTTGAGGCCTAGCGCGGCCCGCTCGGCCGGTGCAGTCACGCCGGCGAGCATCTGGTAGAAGACGTGGTACGAGCGCTCGCCCGGGCCGTGCACCACCACGCGGCTCCGCTCGAGCAGGTACGGCTGCAGCGAGCAGCGGTGGATCGCGCTCTCTGCGTCGAGCTCGACGGCGAGCCACTTGCCGAAGCGCGACGAGTTCTTGTTTTGCGTCGTCGTCGCGTTCCCCCACGCCTCGAGCATGAGCGCGCCTGCTCGCAGCAGGAGGTGTGAAGAGACGCTGTTCACACCTCCACGAACTCCCTCGCCTCGAGCATGAGTGCGCCCCCGAGCGCCGCCTCGGTCGCCCCGGCGCGGCCCGACGGCGCGAGACGCGCGAGGCACGCCACGACGAGCTTGCACGCCTCCGTCTTGCCGGCGCCCGAGTCGCCAGAGACAAGGATGGACTGCGACTTGCCCGTCCGCACCAGGGCGGTGAAGGCGGCGCGCGCGATGCGGTACACGTGCGGCGGAAGAAGCTCGTCCTCTGCGCGGTCGAGGTCGTCGCAGTAGCGCAGAAAGTCGTCGAGGTGGCCGAGCCGCTTGTGCGGGTTGACAGAGATGAGGACGGGCCCGATGCTCGTGTAGATGGCGTCGCTGGCGAACCGGAGCCGCAGGTTGTGAAGCACGGCCGGCAGGCAGATGTCGGGCAGCGAGGTGAGGTCGTCGCACGTCGCAGAAGGGTCGCCGACCACGGGCGACAGGTCCTTCAAGCGGGCCGTCGGCAGCCGCACCAGCTCCTCCTGCCGTCCGCCGGCGCACCAGCGAGAGACGGTGGCGGTCTCGGAGCGGCCGCCGCCGTTCGGCTCCGCCTTGACCTCCGCGGCCGGAACGAATGCGTCGCCGTCGCAAGGCAGCCACACGCGCCTCGCCTCCATTCGCGTCGCAGCGCCGGTGTAGGCCGTTTGTAGCTGGCAGCTTGGGCAGTCGGAGGAGGCGCTCGGGGCGGTGGCAGGCGGTGGCAGCACTCGCAAGCTGTCAAGTCGAGGGTGAACATCGAAGTAAAAAGAATTTTACCGGACAACTCTCTCACACGACACCGGGTACGTCAGATATGTCGGAGTTGTCGGAGAATAGCGACTAGCACACCTCTGAGTCCCAGAAACCCGAGGAGTCACACAGTCCACCTGTGTGATGCACGCCCTGCGAGCGGGGCGGGGTGCGCACTGTCCCTCTGTGATCGTGTGCGTCGCCCATCTCTCCCTGGAGATGACTGCTCTATTTATTTATTACACCGGGTACGGGACTGGCAGAGTAAAAAGAATTTTAGCATGGCTGCTCGCACAACACTGGGCACGGGACTGGCTCGCACTGGCACTAACACAGGTACCTAGTACTCACCCGCCCCCCACCTCGCCCACGCCGCCGCCAGCCTCCACCTTCTCCCCACCGCCGCCGCCACCGCTCACGCCGCCGCCGCCCTCCACCTCGCCCGCGCCTCCGCCTCCCTCCACCTCCCCCACACCGCCGTCGCCACCGCTCACGCCGCCGCCGCCCCCCACCTCGCCCGCGCCGCCGCCTCCCTCCACCTCCCCCACACCGCCGCCACGCCGCCACGCCGCCGCCGCCGCCCACCTCGCCCACCCCTCCGCCGCCCTCCACCTCTACCATGCCGCCCCAGCCCTCCACCTCGCCAACCCCTTTGCTGCCACCCTCTCCTTCGCCGCCCCTCGCCCCCACCGCCCTCCTCCTCCACCCCCCGCCCTCCCCCCCGCCCTACCGAACCACCCACCGCCCGCCCATGCCGACCTCCGTCCTCCCGCCGCCCTCCCCCCTTCCCGCCCCTCCGCCTTCGCCATCCCCCATCTGTGCGCCCCACCCCGTCCGCTCCCTCCCGCTTGGCGCCCATCCCGCCCTCCGCCCTCGCCCCCCGCCCCTGTCCTGGCTGGCCTGGGTGGCAACTCCTCATCATCACGCGCCAGGCGGGAGGGAAGTGGACGGGGCCCTGAGCCGACCTAGCCCTAAACGGAATGGGGCGCCCAACACGTGCCCGGATTACTGTGCCTTCCCCGGGTGCAGCCTTTCGGTTCGTGAAGGGTCGGTGCGTGTCGTGACCCCCTGGAACACCCGTACCCCCGCACCATCTCCATCGCTTGGTTCTATAACCTCTGCCACCACCGGGAGGCGGCCAGGGCTTCATAGACTCGGTCGAGAGACCCCAGATTGGCATCCATGCCTCTCTGGACAGGGTGGCCCGCCACAAGGACCCCAGGAATTGCGACTCGCCGCTTTCCTCCCGCTGTGATTCTGTGTGAGCTCTGTGTCTTGATTTGCCAACAATATACCTAAAACTCACTCACCCAACCGTGTCGAAACTTGGCGCAACGGCGGGCGCTATGGATAACGCATAAAAAGAGAACGAGGCCGTCAGAAAACACGCCTCCGTGGCTCGGGTTACACCAATCCTCGCTACAGTTGTACCCAACGCGGCCAAAGGATATCCACCTCGAGAACCTCGAGAACGAGGCAGCGCAGTTTTTCTTCTTCTTTTCGCTGGCCGACGCTCTTCACGCCCGGCTCCACACCCCGTACCGCGTTGGTGTCCCAGTCGTTGGTCGGACTGTGTTTCGCCTTCACCCATCAATCAACATCCTTACATGACGCGCATGTGAGCAAAGCGGGGGGGGTAGACGACACGCACGTGGGGGATCGTGGACGACGGGTAAAAACACCAAAAATCCAAAAAAGAGAAAACCGACGTAGACGCCTAGAGCTAGACCCAGCGTACAGCGGCGGACTCATACACAATTCCGCGCCGGGAAGTCCAGTCGCCGAACCTGACACTGCACTTCACCACTCTAATATCTACTGTTCAGCCTCACGAGGGCTCCTCGTATTACGTACCGGCTGCCGTCCTACTCCCTCACCGCTTCTTCACGATGGTCTCCCAACACGCGAGCCCGCCCGCCGAGTGCAGCAGCACCGTCTGGAAGTGCTCGTGCGCGGCGTCGACGTGCGCGCGCCACTCGCGCTCGAGGTGCATCTCGTGCTCGCCTAAAGGGCTCATGCTTCACGGGTGAAGAGCCGCCGAGTCACCTGAGAAGGTCTGCCGCAGGCGCATCTCGTGGAGCTCGCCAGAGACAAGCCGCAGCCTGCGGATGGGCGCGAGGCGCGCAGCCGCGACGAGCCGCGCCGAAGCGGCGGGTAGCGTGACTTGGTCCGCCTCGGCGTGGAGGACCTGTTCACGGCTAGAGGTGGGAAAAGACGCTGTTCACAGCTTGCCGCCTCGGCGTGGAGGACCTGTTCACGGCTAGAGGTGGGAAGAGACGCTGTTCACAGCTTGCCGCCTCGGCGTGGAGCACCTGGAAGGGGTACGTGACCGCGGCGAAGCGCTGCTGGGCTTGCAGCGCCAGCCGCGCGTGCGCCGCCGCCACCTAGACGCGCAGCGGTGTCGGGTGCTGCGCGGCGAGGGCGGTGAGAAGCTGGCCCGCGCGTGCCGCCGCCACCATCAGGGGCGTGCGCCAGGACGAGACGAGCGGGTCTGCGAGGACGGCGCGCTGGGCCTCCGGCAGCGAGGTGAGCCTCGCCACCTTGACGGCGCGCTTGACTTCGCCGCCAGAGGTGCGGGCGCCTGTTCATATGCGCGTGTCTTTGGTCTGCTGTTCCGGCTCAGTAGCCGCACACGAGGTGCGGAGGCCGAGGCACGGCCAGCTGAAGAGGCGGGCGGCCTAACGAGCGATGGACACACTCCTCAGCAGCAGAGGCTGCCGGGCGCACGGCCAGCCGGCGAGGCGGCGCGGCCAGGCGCAGCTTGAGGCTGCCTCCGCCCGCAAAGTCGTCCGCCGAAAAGGTGCCGTTGGCGGAGAAGGAAAACATCGGGCCCGAGAAGTGCACGGTCCGGAACTGCGGCCTGTCCACAGCCGCGGAGCTCAAGAGGTGAGAGGAGCGACGAGGGACGGACGGCGAGGGAGTGCGGCCAGCAGGCGGAGCGCACGACGAGCCGGTCGAGCAGCGCAAAGGCGAGCGCGCCTCCCATCGAGTGCGCGTAGATAAAGTGCGGCAGGCTCGGCGCAGACGGCACGACTAGGTCGAGCACTACCGACTGGAGGTCGTCGATGTTGGACTCGTGCGAGGCAAACGGTCGCACGCAGCCGTCTCCGGGCGGCAGCGCGCCCTCCGACTGGCCATAGCACCAGCAGTCGCAGCCGACGACGCGGTAGCCCTTGGCGCAGAGGGCGGAGGCTACGTGGTGGTAGCGGCCCATGTGTTCTCCATGGCCATGCACGAGCAACACCAGCCCGATCGGTTTTGGCCACTGTCCTGTCAGCGCCGCCGCGAGCGACGGCTCTTCGGGTGGCTCCCACGAGTGAATGCAGAGGGTGCGGCCCGTCGAGAGCGTCACCATGCGGACCGTGCGGAGCGCACGTCGGTCGCTGGAGAGGGCGGCGTAGGGGTCCATCGGCTCGCTCCGCCGCTCGTAACCGGGGCCTAGGTCAAGGTTGACGACGAAATTCTTTTTCCCCTTGTTGGTTTGATCATAAAAATGAAGGGGCACGAGACGCGGCACAGACGGGCCAGCGCCGAGAAAACCAATTCTTTTGCCCAGTGTTGTGCGCGGGAGAAGATTCTTTTGCCTTACGGTGTGGCAGCGCTCGCAGACTGGCTCGCAGCTCGGAGGTCTCCTCTGGGCGCAGGTCGGCTGGCTGCACTGTCGGTGGCGGTGGCGACTCGTATGGCCCCGCTCGCTCGATGCATCCTCGTCTGCCGGAGGCGCTTCGCGAGAGCCTGCCCTACGCCGCTGCGGCGGCAGTCTTTCTCCTCGTCGGCGGTGGCATTTTCGTGGCGGTCGAGCCAGGCTGGAGCTATGCTGACGCGACCTACTTTGCCTTCACGGTGACCACCACCATCGGCTACGGCTGTCTAGTGCCCTCGACCCGCGCCTCCCGCGCAGTGACGCTCGGGTACGCGCTGGTCGCCATACCAACCTTTGCGGGCGCGCTCGCTCGATCGCTCGTGCCGGTGCTGCTGCCGCCGAGCGCGTGGTTCGAGCGGATGCTGCTGCGGCTGCCGCCTCTCCGCGCCTCCCGCGCTCGCGACCGGCCGCCCTCCGCTCTCCGCTTCTACGCCCGCGGCCTGCTGCCTCTGATCCTCTTTGGGCAGCTCCTCATCGTCCTCCTCCTCTCGCTCGTCGTCTTTGCGGCGTCGCAGGGCGGAGGCGCGGAGTGGTCGCGCGGCGGCGCGGCAGTCGACACCGACGCCGCCTCGCTCCGATTCTTCGACGCCTTTTACCTCACCGCCCTCACTCTGACCACCGTGGGCCCGGGCATCTTAGATGCAGCGCCACGTCTCTCACGCTGACCGCACCTCTCGTTGCGACGAACGCACTCGCTGTGACCAGACGCGTCGAGAGGCGGATCCACATCTCTCGCTCTTGCCACATCTCTCGCTCCGACCAGACGTACTCAGCGACGCTCGAGAGTAGAGCCGAGTTGTCACCCACGGCAGTGCACTGATGCTCACGCTGTCCACGCCAGGCCTGGGCGACGTCTGCCCTGCGAGCGGCGGCAGCCGCGCCTTCACAGCGTGCTGCGCCTCGGTCGGTCTCGCGCTGCTCGGCCTCGTCGCGCGAGCCTTGCAGGAGCCTTGCAGGAGCCTCCCCATAGGTCGGTCTCGCGCTGCTCGGCCTCTTTGCGCGCCGCGTCGGCGAGCTGAGCGAGACGCGCCGCCGCGCGCTCCGCGCATGGTCGCCTCGCCTCCGCGCCAGGGCAAGCTTCGAGCCCTCCAGGAGGCTTCTAGGAGGCTTCCTATAGGCGCGCCGCCACCGCCCTCCGCGCCAAGGCGGGCCTCGACGGCGACGGTGGCGGGCGAGGCTCGAGGGCGAGTCGGCGGTGCGAGCAGCTGCCGGCAGCCGGTGTGGGAGCCTCCTCCTTTAGGCGCGCCTTGCCCGTGGAGCGGGCTCGGCGAGGAGGGCGGGAGGATGGGGAGGCACGCGTGGGCCCTCGAGACGCTGCTCGCTCTCGGCCTCGTCGAGGTGGGACAGATACCCACACACGCACGCACACACGCACGTGCACACACACACACAGACACACAGACACACAGACACACAGACACACAGACACACACACGCACGCACGCACACGCACACGCACACGCACACGCACGCACACACACACACACACACACACACACACACACACACACACACACACACACACACACACACACACACACACACACACACACCGCTCACCCACGCGCACTGGGCTTTGCCTGTGTTCAGACGTTGGGTCGCGAGGGCTGCCTCCCCTTGCCCCACCACCTCGTGTGTGTGTGATGAGGTCTGCCTTCCCATCTCTTAGGCGGCGCCTGTCCGCACCCTCCTCGCGCGCTTCGACGCCGCCGACGCCGGCCGCGCCGGCTCGCTGGGTCGTGCGGAGGTTGCGGCGCTGCTGCGCGAGGTCGCGGAGGAGTGGGGGGGGGAGCCTCCCCCGAGCGCCGGGGGTGGGACGCCGCCAGCGGGCGGGAGGAGAGGAGGCGGCTCTTTTTCGCGCACCGCTACGGTGCACGAGGCGGTGGGCGGAGATGGCGCCGCCGCCACTGTGCGCACTGAGCTCTGAGGGAGAGGACTCGCACTCTCGGTAGTGATAAGATTTAGAGATAGCAGATAGCCACAGGGTTGCTCGTGGAAACGAAAAAGATGTGCACAACAGGACACGTCTCGATACGTACGCGGTATCAGAGTTCAGGCTGCGGCATTCTCGTCCTCGTGCACAAAAGAAAACCGGCGGGCGACGCGCGGTCGGCATCACACGCCGGTGCACACCCCACAAAAGAAAACCGTGTCCGGCCGCGCGCGGCGCGCTGGCCGCTGTGCGACGCGGCGCCGCGGTCCAAGGCGATCACGCCTCAGCCTTCACGCCTGATGGCCCGGCCTCGCCTTTTTTCTCGAGCGCGCGCAGCGCCGCCTCGAGCGTCGCCTCCGCCGCCTGCTCTGCGGCCGCCGCCGCAGTGTACGCGGCGAAGGCCTTGTCGAGGGCGCTGAGCTGCGGGTGCTCCTTCTCCGCTTGCTCGCGCGCGGCCTCTCGCCGGCGCTCAAGCTCGGCGCCGTCGATCTTCTTGGCTATGAACTCCCGAACAGCATCCTCCATCAGCTCGTGCGCCCGTGCGTCCACCTCCGACGCGCACAGCGACCGTGCCGTGGCCACGCGCGTCCCGACGTCGTCCGCGCGGATCCGCTTGCGCGGCGTTTCCATGGTGCCCTCCGTGAGGTCGATGGCGCGCTTGCGTCCCTCGGCGTCCTTTTGGTCGCGCGTCCGCTCGCCCACCACGGAAACCTCGTCAGCGGGCGGCACGTACCGGAGGAGACGCAGGTCGGGCGCGTCAACCCAGTCGCTCTTGTGGTAGCTGCCACATTCAACCTGCCATATTCCGACCGCGTCCTCCAGCCGCTTCACGTTGCTCACGAGTCTGATCACGCCACTCGGTCCTCCAGCCGGGAAGCCAACCATCCACGCACCCACGCAGGGCGCATGCCACATCATGATCGTAGATACGAGGTTTGAGACGTAGGACGGCGCGCCATTGACCAGCTCCGAGCGCCTGGTGAATACGCCCCGGAAGACTAATTTAAAGTACTTCCGTCTTCCATCTGGCACGGAGTCAGGCAGATCGCCCACGATCGCGACCGCCTGCTCGCTCAACATTCCGAAGAAGCGCCAACAAAAATCCCGGAAAAAATGGCATTTTTTCGGTGCTGGTAGCCCCCCCAAAACAGGCGCGCGCAGCGCGCCCAAGGGCGCCGCAGGCGCCCCAAGCGGCGCGGAGCGCCGCCGCAGGCGGCGGACAGCAGGTGCGCGAAATTAAACGCCCTCCCCAAAAATGTCTCCACCGACAGGGAGGGCCACGCCTCCCCGAGCCGGGAGAGGAGCCGGCGGAGGGGGGGGGCGAGCCGAGGACGATAGAGAGGCCGCGGGTGCGGGCGCGACTCGTCAACCAGGGAGAGCGGGCCCGACCTCCCGGGGAGGGGAGGCGACACGATCCAATGCCGCCGTCCTCGCCCGGGGAAACTTCAGCAGGGCAGTCGATGCTCTCAGAGGCGGCAGTACCAGTCGGAGGTGAGGCGGAGGCGAGACCTCGGCCAAAGAAGAGACATCAGAAACGGCTACAGCGGCCGTCAGGCGACGCTCGGCTGGCGAATAAAAGAGCGAATCAGGGAGAACCGGAGCCCTGGGAATGCGGGCGGTGGAACCCCGGGTCCCGGGACGGGATGCTGAGTGAGGACCTGTGTACGTGCGTGGTGTACAGTGTCATGTCTACTAGCTCCGAGTAGAGGGGGCGTTCTGAAGTTAAGGGGAAACCCGGTACACGGAACCAACCCTCGGAGACCCGTGTTTACTTTAAGGCCCTTGCCCTGCGAACGCGCACCCCCGGGGCTAGGGCTCTCTAGCCCGTAACCCGATGCCAATCATCCGGCCCGCTGGGTGCGCTTCTGAGCTCCCCGGCCCTGGATGTGCGGTTAATGACTGCACTCCAAGTGCTCCAAGTGCTCCTTTCCTCGGGCTGCTCGCTCATCATCCCTCTCCCTTGGGTTGTCCGTTTTCTGTCTTTCTTTCTTTCGCTCATCATTCCGAAGAGGCGCCGCAAAGGCAGAAAAAATCTTTCCGCGAAGGGGGGGCGGGCTCTGCCAACGGGGACATCCGTCCACACCGGATCTCGAACAACTGACGGGTGACGAGGTGGTGGGGGCGCTGACCCAGATCGGCCGGGAGCACGCGTCGGCGACGGGAGCCCTGGTCTTGACATGGGGCAGTGAAGGTGACCAGCTTGGGCACCGAGTGATCATTGCGGAGGAGCTGCGAGATCTTATACAACGGAACCAGCTACTGGCGGGAGCACGACGGGAGGAGGCCGCGGAGAGTGCACGAGCCTCGGACGAGGGAGGAGCAGAGGCGAGGGAGGGACGGCCGACGGTACGAGTCGAAGGGAGGGCCGAGCCGAGCCGAACTCGCCACGAGCCCCCTCCCCGGACTCAAGTACCTGGCTACGGCTCAGTGGTGTTCCTGGACGAGGTCACGCGAGTGATGAGGGCGAGGCATGCCTTCGGCTCCTGGGTGACGTAGTGGTCTGTGCGACGCCGCCGAGAGGGAGGGTCGAGCAGCTGTACGTACGGAGTAGGAGAGCGAGAGGATTAGACTAGCGAGTCTACTAAACCTCGTCAGCGCTCTCGACCGGTGGACATCCATTCCCTCGCGTGACGTGAGTGTCTTCACACATTATGGTGGTGGTGGCCCTCGCGTAGGCAATCGTTGGGTAGGTGGACCGTAATTCGCGACCTGGGCGGCGCGAAGCGCCCGGTAGTAGGCGATGCAAGACGCGGATGAGCACCTAGGATTCACGCCGTCGGCCCGTGAAGAGGCGCGCACTTCCTCACGGGGTTGGGCGAGCCGTCGCGACGGGGGGGCGCGCACCATGGCGCTGCCGGCGGCAGCGGCAGCTGCGGCGGCGGCTCCGGCTGTGGCGGCAGCGGCGGCTCGGCGGGCGGCGACGGTGGCGAGGGTGGAGGGGAGGGCGAGGGCGGGGGGGGCGTCGCCGGGGGCAGCGGCGGCGGCGGCGGTGGCAGCGGCGGCGGCGGCGGCGGTGGCGGCGGCTCCGGCTGTGGCAGCGCGGGCGGCGGCGGCGAGGGGGGCGGCGGCGGCGAGGGAGGCATGATTGCCTCAACCATAGCGGAGTGCGCCGCCGGACTCGCCACTTCGATCTTCGCCTCGGCCGCCTTGAGGGCACTCTCCGCGGAAGCCTTGAGACCCTTGACCGCCTCCTCGTGCGCCACCGCCTCCGCCACCGCTTTTGTGAGGGAAGGCACCTACGTGTGTGACAGAGGTCCGGGACGGTCCGCGACAGGTCCGGGACAGGTCGAGAGGAGCAGCGCCGCGGCGGCACCTCCGCGGGCGCGGCTGACTGCAGCCGTGTCTCGGCAGCTCTCTTCGCCACGTCTGCAGGCCTCTCCATGGCGGTGGCGAGCGCCTTGTAGGTGAGCGCGCGAGCGAGCTCGATCTCTGCAGCCTGCAGCGCCCCGATCGCGCCACGGTGCGTGAGGACGATCGACGTCGGGAGGTTGAGCTGCAGCAGGGTCGGCGCTGACGCGCTCGCAGTCTCCTCTAGCGCCGCCACGGCCAAGGCCGTGATCTGCCCTTCCAAGTCCTTCGCCGCCTGCGCCGCCGCAGCCTCTGCGGACTCCGCAAACACCACCGCCACCTTGGCCTGCTCGACCGCCGCGGGATCGCCCGCGGGCGCCGCTTTAAGCGCATCTTCCGCCTTGGCCAGGACAGCCTCAGCCCTCCACGCGTCCATCTTGGCCGCCGACAGCTGATCCGGATAGGCCCGCAGCGCGGCCACCGCCGAGCGGAACCGCGGCGGCGGGGCTGGCGAGCCGAGGGGCGAAGGAGCGGGTGGAAGAATGGGCCTAGTCGCCGTCAGCTTGACGTAGCAAACCGGGAAGTGGAAGCCTGCCGTAGCACATGGCACGGTGTGGTCGATGGGCTCCGAATGCAGCTCGCAGCGAGCGATAGGTGCGTGGGCCAGCGCGCGGATTTTGATCGCCGAGTGCTCGTACGCTTGGCATTTAGGGGTCTGCTCGCACAGGCGGCGGCACTCGAACTCGGTCTTTTGCCACTTCTCCTCGTAGATGCCGTACGAGCGCTTGGTGGCGCAGCAGCCTTCCGGCTTGTAGCCGTGAGGAGGCCCCCACTCGACAAACTGGGACTGGGCGAGGACGAGGGCGGGCAGGAGACACAGGAGCTCCTGCAAGTGCATTGCGGCCAACCGAGTGAATATTCAGGACCGACTCAGCCGCCGAAATTTAGGTTGCTGTTTTTCTTTATAGGCGTCTGCAACTTCCAAGCTGCGTATTCTTCTTGTATTACTCGTCGAGTAGTGCAGGTACTCCGTGGGGGCAGTGTGTATTCTTGTAACATGTGCGTATTCTCGTATCACTGTATGTATGTAGAAAGATGAACAACAGTCAGGCTCGGAGATTCTCTCTCTCCAGGCTCGGTCGGACTGGACACCAACGCGGTATGGGTGGACGCGGGACAGATGATGACGACACGCACGAACGACACACAGACACAAACAAGCTCACAAGACACACAGCCAGCTGGCTGCCACACACCCTGAGTTGGCGTACACATAACTCAAGGCCGCGCCCCCCCTGTCGCCCCCCCCAGCACTCCAAGGTGCCAAGAGAACAAACAAGGGCACAACAACACAACAGACGACAGGGGCGAGCGCGTGAGGCTAGAGCAGGCTTGCTCGTCCTCTAGCAATCTCCGCCGACCGCGAGGCCGGACTAGACCGTGTGTGGGGTCATGTGAGGTGTCTCTGGTCACTCTCCTCAGGGGCTAGCCGCCAGCCGCTAGCCCTATCTCGCACTCACTGGCTCCGAGTAGAAAAAGAAAGAAAACATGTTATGTGGTGTTTATTAGCTCCGAGTAGAGGGGGCGCTCCGCTGCTAGGCCTAGGGGAAACCTGGAGCGCGGACTAACCCTCGGAGACCCGTTTACTTTACGGCCCTTTCCCTGCGAACGCGCACCCCCGGGGCTAGGGCTCTCTTGCCCGCAACCCGATGCCAATCATCCGGCCCGCTGGGTGCGCTTCTTAGCTCCCTGGCCCTGGATGTGCGGTTAATGACTGCACTCCAAGTGCTGCTCCAAGACTCGTCGGTTCGGCGTGAAAGTGCGACCGAACTTCTGCTACACTAAGACACGGAACAACAATGACGACAGCGGACAGGCTCTCCGCACGGACCGTGCACACCAACCCGGAGCACGAAGCCCCACACAAAGACCCTAAACGGACAGAAACAAGCACAGTCCGAGGCAAACCCGGTCGTCAGCGGGCGAGGCGACGGCATGCTAGATGCTTCCCTCGCCCTGCTGCTCGCTCGGTACCAACAACGCACCGTCCTCAAGATCCAAGGTGCGTCACACACACGGTCACACGACCGAGTCTCCGCAAAGGGTCCACCGTGGATGGAGATGGAGCGTGAAGACTGAAGTTGCATTCGTTGAAGAGGAAAGGCTCAAAGCGACCTGCTGGACCCCGCCATGGCCTCGTCGATGTGGCCGGTGCGCCCCTGCTTGCAGTAGAAGCAAACCACTCGAGTCTCGACCGGTGACACCCATCCCCTCGCGTTTGAGTGTCTTCATCCTGCACACATTATGGTGGTGGCCCTCGCGTAGGCAATCGTTGGGTAGGTGGACCGTAATTCGCGACCTGGGCGGCGCGAAGCGCCCGGTAGTAGGCGATGCAAGACGCGGATGAGCACCTAGGGATTCACGCCGTCGGCCCGTGAAGAGGCGCGCACTTCCTCACGGGGTTGGGCGAGCCGTCGCGACGGGGGGGCGCGCACCATGGCGCTGCCGGCGGCAGCGGCAGCTGCGGCGGCGGCTCCGGCTGTGGCGGCAGCGGCGGCTCGGCGGGCGGCGACGGTGGCGAGGGTGGAGGGGAGGGCGAGGGCGGGGGGGGCGTCGACGGGGGCAGCGGCGGCGGCGGCGGTGGCAGCGGCAGCGGCGGCGGCGGTGGCGGCGGCTCCGGCTGTGGCAGCGCGGGCGGCGGCGGCGAGGGAGGCATGATTGCCTCAACCATAGCGGAGTGCGCCGCCGGACTCGCCACTTCGATCTTCGCCTCGGCCGCCTTGAGGGCACTCTCCGCGGAAGCCTTGAGACCCTTGACCGCCTCCTCGTGCGCCACCGCCTCCGCCACCGCTTTTGTGAGGGAAGGCACCTACGTGTGTGACAGAGGTCCGGGACGGGTCCGCGACAGGTCCGGGACAGGTCGAGAGGAGCAGCGCCGCGGCAGCACCTCCGCGGGCGCGGCTGACTGCAGCCGGGTCTCGGCAGCTCTCTTCGCCACGTCTGCGGACCTCTCCATGGCGGTGGCGAGCGCCTTGGAGGTGAGCGCGCGAGCGAGCTCGATCTCTGCAGCCTGCAGCGCCCCGATCGCGCCACGGTGCGTGAGGACGATCGACGTCGGGAGGTTGAGCTGCAGCAGGGTCGGCGCTGACGCGCTCGCAGTCTCCTCTAGCGCCGCCACGGCCAAGGCCGTGATCTGCCCTTCCAAGTCCTTCGCCGCCTGCGCCGCCGCAGCCTCTGCGGACTCCGCAAACACCACCGCCACCTTGGCCTGCTCGACCGCCGCGGGATCGCCCGCGGGCGCCGCTTTAAGCGCATCTTCCGCCTTGGCCAGGACAGCCTCAGCCCTCCACGCGTCCATCTTGGCCGCCGACAGCTGATCCGGATAGGCCCGCAGCGCGGCCACCGCCGAGCGGAACCGCGGCGGCGGGGCTGGCGAGGCGAGGGGCGAAGGAGCGGGTGGAAGAATGGGCCTAGTCGCCGTCAGCTTGACGTAGCAAACCGGGAAGTGGAAGCCTGCCGTAGCACATGGCACGGTGTGGTCGATGGGCTCCGAATGCAGCTCGCAGCGAGCGATAGGTGCGTGGGCCAGCGCGCGGATTTTGATCGCCGAGTGCTCGTACGCTTGGCATTTAGGGGTCTGCTCGCACAGGCGGCGGCACTCGAACTCGGTCTTTTGCCACTTCTCCTCGTAGATGCCGTACGAGCGCTTGGTGGCGCAGCAGCCTTCCGGCTTGTAGCCGTGAGGAGGCCCCCACTCGACAAACTGGGACTGGGCGAGGACGAGGGCACACAGGAGCTCCTGCAAGTGCATTGAGTCTTGACACGGCTGCGGAGAGCTCGACAGGGCGAGCCCCGCCGAAGGATGACCCAAAACGAGTGAAATATGCGCTTCGAGGGCGTTCGTTTGGCGAGACGCCGACCGCGCGTCGTGAATTCTTCTCCCCTCAACAGATCACAGATTGTGGCTATGCTCCAGGCTGATAGCCTAACGATTTGGAGGGAAAAAAGGTGGACGTTTTCACACCTAGATTCCCGCCGATTTCTGCGATCTCTGTGATCGATTGCAGCAGCGCGCGAATAACTCTCGATCACTCAGCATCCGCAATTGCGTTGAGGGGTGTGTGTCAGTCCGGCCCACCGCGTTTAGTTGAAAAGCCATTTTCTTTTTTTCCCACTTCTTGGGCAAGCTAGACAGATGATGACGACACGCACGAGCGGCACACAGACACAAACAGGCTCACAAGACACATAGAAAGATTGAACGGGTTCAGGAATTCTTTTCCGCATGTGAGAGCGGCTTAGTTGATGACCGACAACGTCGCGCTGGATGCGAACCTCCCGGACGGTCGCCCGCTGTACGCACACGCAATGATGGCGTGCGCCGAGGGCGATCTGGAGCGGCTGCGAGAGATAATCGCCATGCTGCAGCCGTCGGATGTGGCCGAGCTTCTGGCGTTTGCCGGCTGGTCCGACGAGATCACACTGCTGAAGATGGCCTGCGGCCAGGGAAATCTGGCAGTGGTCAAGCTCCTCGTGGCGAGTGGCGCTAATCCCAATGATCACGGCGGTGACGAGGACGAGGATCCGGAGGAGGCAGACAGCACGCGCAAGGCGCCGATCCACATTGCCGCCCAACGCGGCCACGCCAACATAGTGCGCTGGCTCGTTGAAGCCGGCGCAGATCCGCGCCAGCTCGACCGCAACGGCAGCACCGCCTACCACCTTAGCTGCGTCATGGGCTGCGCTGACGTCGTGCGATATTTGCTCGACGCGGTGATGAACGAGGTGGAGGTGAATGAGGCGGACGGCGCTGGGAACACCGGGCTCGCCTGGGCGATGAGACAAGGCCACGAGGACCTGGCGCGATTGCTTCGCCAGCGGGGAGCAGAGGCCCGGTGGAATTATCAAGTCGTCGAGTGATCCGGGCGCTTATTGTTGCTTGTTCGGACAGAGCGGAAAGATAATCATACGTCTTGTCTTGGTGTGGCGCGCGCGGGATCGTCGAGCCACGGCCGAGTGGTGTTACGTGTGAATTCTCCCGGGGAAAAGGGGGCTAGGTGTGCTGAAAACCAAAACGGAGTGGTGTCAGACCTAGAGACTGCGCTATTATGTCCTCCGAGGCCTCTATAGTACGTGCACCATAACACTCGTCCGACTCCGACACAGGGTCTCGCGTCTCCGGTCGGCGCCGTGTCGCGTGTGACGTGTTCAGGAGTTGAGTGGGCCCAGCCTGCCGCAAGCCGGCGGTCGTGCCAGCCCCGCACGAGCGGCGCTGCGCGCCGTCGCACCCCGGCGGGCGTCATTCTCTCGTCGTGAGCACAAAGAGCCCCATGATGCCAACCAGGGCATACCTGCGACAAGGGGGGCGGGGGCCTTAGGCACGGCGGTGCTCTCGGACCGCCCCCGCCCCCCCCCCCCTTCCCGCCAGCCCGCCGCTGTTGCCGGGCGCGGGCGGGGCACACTTGACGAGCGGGTAGTCGTTCATGATGATAGTGACCATGCCGATGTACGGGAGGTAGCCTGCAAAAGGAGATGCCAATCCGGGCAAGGTGCGGGGGGAGAGGAGTGACAAGGAGTGGCGCGGCGAGGCGAGGCGAGCCTTTAGCGCGGCCAATGACGTGCTGCTTGTTGATCCAGCTCTGGCCGGCGGCATACCTTACGCCGAGGCGAGGGAGAGGGAGGCGTCAGTGGCTGACCAACCCCCCCTCCCCCCCACCCCCCCTCCCCCCCACCCCCCCTCTCCCCCCGGGCCTCGGCGCCGCGCTGTGTGAAAGGTGGCCTGACAGACCGCCACGGCGTCTGTGTCTCTCCCATCTACGGGCGCGCACAAGCCGCGGTCGTCGACCGCGTTGTTGTCCCCTTTCGTGAGGACGTCCACCTCGCCGCTCACCTTCCGCACAATGGCAACACAACATTGGTATCGCTAAACCTCTCTCTCTGCTAAAACTCTCTCTCGCTCTCTCACTCTCTCTCTTTCGAATGGGCAGGAGTGATCCGCTGACCCCTTTGGGGCGAGGTACGTCCACCTCGCCGCCGGCACTCCACCTCTGCCGGGAAGGCTGGGTGGGTTCGGGTACCGCGGGGTAGGGGAGGGTGGGTTCGGGTACCGTGGGGGTAGGGGAGGGTGCGCGCCGCACCTTCTCGTGCACTTTGAGGATTCGGTGCACGATCGGGATCTCTCGGTCAGCCACCTGGCGGGCGGAACCGGCAGGGTAGGAGGGCGAAGTGGAGGTGGAGGGCGAGGGTGAGGGTGAGGGTGAGTGGCGAAAGCAACGAGGAGACGGAGGATTCTTCTCACTCATTAGGCGCCGTGAAGACCAGCATCATGGTCACGTCATGAAAGAGTATGCATTCTGCTGTGAGGCGCCTTGAAGACGACGATGTCGCCAGCGCGGAACGGGGCGTGGCCCATGTGCAGAAAGAGAATGTCGCCTACGGCTCGGACAATCTCGCGAAATCTCGCGAAATCGCGGGGAATCTCGCGGAATCTCGGCGAATCTCGTCTCATCTCGGGGTTTGCCGCGGTGGGAGGCCGGCTCCATGCCGCCAGAATCTCGGGCGATCTCGGGCGATCTCGGCTCATCTCGCCGCGATGGAAGGCCGGCTCCATGCTGCCAGAGAGCACGACCACTACCTGCGGCAAAGCGCGGCACCCGCCACACACGCTGTCAGTGGGAGGTGGGGCGGTGCGAGGCGCGAAGGAGGAAGGGAGAGAGAGGTGGGCGGGGATGGGGGGGGGGGGGGGAGCGAGGAGGGAAGGAAGGAGAGAGTATCAAGGAGGAGAGAGGAGAGAGGAGGAGAGAGAGAGAGGAGGGAGGGGGTGGAAATGGGAGGAGGAGGGAGGAGAGGAAGATGCTCGGCCATCGTGCCGCGCACCGGGCTCTCCGACTCGGTCACCTGGCGAGGGCAGCGGCGAGGGGGAGCGCGGCGTGAGCCCGTCAGAGGCGGTGGGCCAGGGGAGGGGGGTTTGAGGGAGGCAGAGGGAGAGGGAGAGGGAGAGGGAGAGGCAGAGGCAGAGAAGCTGGCTTGCGCACCACCATCAGGCCCTTCCAGATCATCAGCGCCTGGAGCGCGCAGCGACGCGGCGCGTGGGCGGGCACGTCAGTCACTCGCGGGGGAGGGCGTGCTTGCGTGCGGTGTGAGGCAGAGATCAGCGACGGGTGACTCGCATCTGCGGCAACGCGCGCACCGAGCACACAATCATGGCGAGGTTGAGGACCTGGTGCGCCATCTGTAAAGGGAGGCGGCCGTCAGAGCGGTGCGTCCTCCACCTTGCCCGTCGCCACCGCCGTCCCACCCGAGTGTGCGAAACACAACGGGCAATGCGCGCCTGCCGCTTTCGCATGTCCTTCAAAGTGTGGTACATGTCCATCACGCCATCCATCATCGACATGTTGGCGCCCGCGTACCGCAGCGGCTTGGAAGCTGAAGGCGCTGAGGTCTGAGACGCCTGTACTCCGACAGTGGACCTCTCGCCCGCCACGCCGCGCCGCGGCTGCGATCGTTTCTTTTCCCCCCTTCCGAAGAAAGAAAGACGCCACCACGAACTGGCGGGCGGAATGAGAAAACATTACATAAGAGCACCGCCTGACAGGGAGTAGGACGATTGAACCCCTTCGCCGCTTTCCTCCCACTGTGAATTTGTGTGAGCTCGGTGCCTTGATCTCAGATCTGCTAACAACGAGCCTACACCTAACAGTTGACTGGCGTCTCATCCATGACCACCCTCCCCCTCCGCCGCCCGCCGCGGCCGCGGCTTCTGCAGAATGCGGTACGAGAAGCCGACCGAGCCGTCCGGAAGCTCCTGCGGAGGGGCCGGAGGAGTCAGCTAGGATGAGTCAGGGTCCGTAGCGAAGGCTCCGAGTGAGCAGGGGCGGCGGCGGCGGCGAGAGCGGCGGCAAGAGCAGTGGCGGCGGCGAGGGCGTCGTCGGCCCTCCGCGGTCCGGTGGCGAGGGCGCGGGGTGGGAGGCGGCGGCGGGGGGCGGCGCTCCTCTGGCTCAAACTCGCCCGGGCAGAGCTCCGGCGAGCAGCACGAGGCGCCGTAGCCCTGGCGCGCGTAAAAGGCGAGGGCGGCGCGGTTGGCCGTCTGCACCGTCAGCACCACCTGGCGGCGCGAGGGGGCGAGGGAGGCTAGGTCGGCCGGCGGGGCTGCCAGCTGAGCGTGCGGGCTCTGCGAGCTGGCGCCGCCGCCGCGCCTGCGCGAGCCCGCGGTCCCACGCCAGCGCCTCGGCTGCTGCGGTGAGCCGCGCGCCGAGCCCGCGCCGTTGGGCGTGCCTCGCCAGCTGCAGCTCGGTGACGTAGAGGGCGGGCTCGCCCGCCTCGACCGAGAACTCGCACTGCACAAACCCGAGCAGCGCGTCCCGCGCGTCGAGGAGGAGGAGGTAGAGAGGTTCGCCGACCGCGCAGCCCTCCTCCGCGTCCGCCTCGTCCCACCCCGACGCCGCGAAAACCTCGTCCATGTTGTCCCGCACCAGCGCCGCCGTCGCACGCTCCAGCTCGGGCGGCAGGGCAGACGCGCGGCACGGCCGCAGCGTAAGGTCCGGAAGCCCAGCAAAGGCCGCCGCTGCCGCTGGAGACAGGCCCTCCGCCGCCGCCGCCGCCGCGACGACGTCGGCTGCGTTCCGCCGAGGAGGCATGATGTGTAAATCGGTCTCCTTTCTCCGCTAACGAAAACGCGACGGGGCCGGCTTGGAGGGCCTACACAAGCACTCAGGCAGCTGGCTGGCGAGAAGAATTTTACCAAACCTCGCACGACATACACAAAACAAGGAGGACGGAGTTGCGCCGAGAGGCGAAAGAAGCCGCGAGAACAAGGGACCGGCAGGCGGCGGCGTCGCAGGACGAGGCAGAAGAGAACGACGCGACAGAGGGGGAAGTGAGTGACAAGGGAGAGAACGACGAGAGTGGGACAGCCGCGAGGTGGCATGAAGGTTGCAGCGAGAAGCGGCGAGAGACTGCGAAAAGAGATACGAGGAGGCAGACTCCCCAGGGTGGGCGACGGCTAGCGCATCACACCCTCATCTCCTTAAAATCCCTGTGTGGTGGCGGCGCAACAAACAACTTGCGCGCACAGCACACAGGTTCGAGAGAGAGAATCTCTCTCAGGTTCGACACAGGTACCAAAAGAGGCACAGGCGAAAGAATTTTACCAAAAAGCTCCCTCGCACGACACTGGGCACGGGACTGGCGCGCACGGGCACTACTGGGCTGGGTTTTTAGGCATTGTGGGGTTGGCACTCCCATCGACCCTCATGACCTCCTGCGGTCTCTGAGATGGACACCAGTGGGTGTGGGGCCACAGCCAGGATACACTCGAAGGCTGGGTAAGCAGTAGAGGTCGATACTCGACGCGTCCCACATGGTCTGTGTCGCTGTCGGCACGCTGTCGACAGGACGTCGAGCGACACCGGTGGCAGTGCCACCCAGGAGTGGTCGGGCGGTGTCCCGTCATGAGAGAGCCACCATGTGATCCGTATGATGGTTCCTGACAACCGCCTCAGTCAACTTTCGTCACAGTTCCCGCTCTGAGAGGAGCTGCGGGTCAGTTCGACAGCTGGAGCTGTGTCGCCGGCGTGCGGCGGCCTGCCTCCGGAGGTGCCTCTGAGGTGGACATTTCTTGGTCACCGTGAGAGAACGCGTTCGAATTTTTACTCCGGAACTTCAACTGAGCACGCGCACCGGCCAGGGCTACAATAGTGCCAGTGAGGCGGAGGCGCGAGTCGGAAGGCCGCGACCGTGATTTGGTTTCCCAATTTACCTACAATCGCTGTGGGATTGAGAGAGTTTTCTGTTTTGGATTTTGCCTCCATTTTTGGCCAGCGCCGTCGTGATCATATATGAATTTGCACAAGCTTGCCTCGTACCATCACGGAAAGGCGGATGCTCCCCACGGACAGAGAAGATAGACAGAGGAACTTACCTCGTCAGGCGGCGTGTGATCTGTGAGGGGGGGGGGGGGGGATCTGTGCGTGCGAAACCAACAAAAAGGCGCGAGTTGCGGGCCGCTCCACGCTCAGAGCCTGTGTCTGGGCCTCGCCGCGCCGGCCGCGCCTCGCCCTCCCCTCCACGAGCGCTGCAAGACATCCTCCCAGCCCAGACCTTGTGTGCGGTCCATTGTGTGAGTGGATTCTCCAGTGTGCCGGAAGGGCCGAACACAGAAAGCGTTCACCCAGAGAAAGATACTAGATACATAGAGAGGCGAGGCCTTGCTCATGAGAAAATACCTGGTATCTCCAACGCGGCCAAAGGATATCCACCTCGAGAACCTCGAGAGAGCTATCTCCCCACCCTCGCCGGGAACGGCGTTTCAGACTTCTCGGCGGCATACTATCCCTAAAATTAACTCCGTCGGCGGAAAGGAGAGGTCCGCACTGAGAGATGCAGCGAGAGCGGTCGACCTCGTCGGACGACGACAATCCCACTCTCACGCCCCACAAGAGGCATCGCGGGGGCGCCCGCCCGCGGGTTGTATACTCCAAGTCGTACAAACTCCAAGTCGTGCGCGAAGCGCTGACGAAGGACCCGCGAGCGAGGATCAAGCCGACTTGCCACAACCACCCTGGCGTGGGTCCGGTGAGCCAACCGAGTCCGCCCCTGCATATCCCCCGCCAGCCCAAGGCTGGATCTCTCCGGTCCCGCGTCCTTTCCCCACATAGATTCCACTCTTGACCTTCTCGCGCTCCCTGTGGGCTCCCCGCAGGCGCAGCTCAGGAAGTGGATCAAAAAGAAGGACACCCTCGAGGTTCAGGCGAGGCTGGAGCGGCAGGTGCTCAAATGTCGCGACGACCGCGAGTACCTTCGCACCGTCGCGCTGACTGGGCTCGAGACGCGAGGCGGCGGCGGCGGTGGAGTTTCCGAGCCCCAGGCTGCTCCTCTCCCGTCGCGACGGGCGGCCGCCGCAGTGACGCCGCAAAAGCTCGGGGCCCACTCCTGCATGCCTGTCGCCCTGGCCACCACTGCTGCTGCACCATCCGCTTCGGCGCCCTGGCACGTGGTGCAGGCGTTTCCGTACCCGATGATGCCGTCGCCGCAGCTGGCGCCTGTGCATGCGCCTCTGCTGGCTCCAACGAGGGCGGCCTGGATGATGCCCCAGATGGCGGCGCGGCCCACCCCCTCCGACATGCTGGAGCAGATCATCATGCCGTACCCGCTTCACCACCAGCTCGAACTTCCTGACCCCGCCGACGAGATCCCCCTCGCGGCACCTCTCGACCGCCTCGCGGGCCGTCGGCGCCCCGTCCGGCGCCGCGAGACACCTGTGGTCGCACCTGTAGGCGGCCGTCGTCGAGTACCCGTTCCCCAGCCAGCTCCCCGCCGTGCGCGCCTGAAGAGCACGCGCGAGGCCGAGAGCAGCGCGGGAAGGCAAGCGGAGAGCCACCCGCACGCGGAGAGCCCAGCCGCGACGTAGCAGCGGGTGGGAAGGAGCGGCACGCCCCCAGGCCCACCCGCCAGCCGGGTGGGGCTTGCACGGGAGCTGCGCTCATTTTCTTCTTTGCACTGGCGGGAGTTGGCCTTTACACCATATTCTCGAATATCTTTGAGAATATAGCGAGGGTCCCGCGCACTTCCATATTCGAGAATATTCTCGAGAATACGGCTTTACAGATGCCCCGGCCGGCTTTTCCCTCAAGAATATACGAGCTTTCCGCAGCCCTTGACCTTAGTAGACCTCGAGTCCAAAGATATTCTTGAATTTCTTGACGTTGCCGCTGTGCGGCGTCTAAAACGGTCTTGACGAGAGAGCTCGAAACAGCTATTCCCCCTCCAAAACTTAAAGATTTCAACAAAACAACATCCCTCGTCTGTGTGACGAACATCCCTCGTCTGTAATACTTTATGTGAGACAAACCCAGACGAGGGATGGGGGAGGAGGACAGGGTCCCCACCTGCACGAGCAGGATTTTGGACCTGTAAAGAAAGAAAGAAAGAAAACAGACAACCCAAGGGAGGGATGGGAGAACGGCACGCCGCCACCACACAGGGATTTTAAGGAGAGGAGTGTGATGCGCTAGCCGTCGCCTACCCTAGGGAGTCTGCCTCTTCCTATCTCTCTTCGCAGTCTCTCTCCGATTCTCGCTTCAACCTTCGTGCCACCTCGCGGCCGTCCCACTCTCGTCGCTCTCTCCCTTGTCACTTCCTCCTCTGTCGCGTCGTTCTCTTCTGTCTCGTCCTGCGGCGCCGCCGCCTGCCGGTCCCTTGTTCTCGCGGCTTCTTTCGCCTTTCGGCGCAACTCCGTCCTCCTCGCGGCGTATCCTGGCCCCTCGAGTCTATCGAGCTCCCCTCGCGCAAGGACCTGTGTTAGTGCCAGTGCGGCCGCGTAAAATTCTTCTTTGCAGCGAGTAGAGTTGTTTTCTTTAAATTCTTCTTTGCAGCGCGCGCACGCATTTGTGCTTGCCGCTGCGTAAGTCAGTGACCACGCGAGTACGGTTCTTACCGGTACTTGTAGCGGCGCTCGCGAGTACGCGGCTCGCTTCTGGACTCGCTCCGTCCGCCTCGGATGCAGCGCGCCGCCGTCGGCGCCACGCCGGTCGTGCCAATGCCTGTGGCGACAGCCACGCCAATGCCTGTGGCGACAGCCACACCAATGCCGATCGCGCCCGTCACCCCGATGGTGGCGTCTGTTGGTGGGTCACAAGGTACTGGTCATTGGGTCGACAAGGCGGCCATCGTTGCCAAGGTGCGCGCCGGCCAATGCATTCACGGAGAGCAGGAGGCGGTTCCCTACGCCAATGCCTGCGAATTCAACCCGGCCGCGATGACGGGCTGCTACTGCATCAAGTGCGGCTCCAAATCGGGAATTCCCGTCGGCTTGACGTACAATTTCTTCTTGGGCCCGTGGTTCTGCTTCCAGCCGTGCCTTCCTCTGCCGCTGTGGTGTGGCTGCTCGGACGAGCGCGAGGGCAACGTGTACATCAATCGCGGCAGGCAGGGGCGAGGCACCGTCATGGTCATCGACGAGGAGATGGGCACTCTAGCCTGTTACCACTGTGAGGAGGAGGCGAACCCGTGCTGCACCTGCGTCAAGATTGGCAAGTGATGTCTCGGAGCGGTTTGGTTTCTGTTTTAAGTCTCTCTATGTACGCGTCCACGGTGTTATACACATATGCTGGAGGTGACGGGCCGAGACGACATCACCGGCGTCGCGCCAGATACACATTTTTCACTTCCCGCAGACGCCGCCTCCACTAGGCTATGATGCCGTGAGGCTGGGTCCCTACACCCTACTCGGTACTGGAACCCCCACTCGCCCAAGCGGCGTTCGACCCCTTTTGCCCAACCGTGATTCCGTGTGTGTGGAGAAGTTTACCTTACCTTACCTTACCTTAGACCCAGACATAAAGAGTGCAAAATGATGCGGATAATCGATCTCATCCGCCGCTGTGGATGCACTTGGATGGATGGTTTTCCGAACAGGGAGGGACATGGCGTGCCAACTTACCGCTTAGCTCCCGGCCGCCGCTCGCGCACCGCTGCGAGCGCCCTCTCGACCGCGTCCGCCGAGATGGTCGCACCCGCTACGCACGCCCACTCCGCTCCCGCCGCGGCCTCGGCGGTGGCGCCCGCCCTGCCCGCACAGCTCGCGCAGCACATCGAAGACATGTAGCTCGGGCTGCGCGCGCACTCGCCCGCGGCGGCCCGCGGCGCGCACTCCGGCGAGGCGTCTTCGCAGGCAGGCTCCCGCCCCCCCGATAGTGGGCACAAAGCTCGGAGAGCGAGCGCCTGCGTGTGCGCGTACTCGTGCTGGCGGCCGCCGAGCCGCTCGCGCTCTCCGCTGGGCAGCTCTGGCGCCTGGGCCTGGCCCTCCGCCGCCAGATAGGGCGTGGTGGCGCAGGCGAGGGCGGGGCCGGGGCCGGCGCTCAAAGGCCTAGAGCATCAACACGGCGAGGGTGAAACGACGGTCGCATTCGGGAGCAATCCGAGTGCAGTGAAGACGGCGGCAACGCGGCCGAGGTCATGTCGCCGGAAGTGCTCGCTGGAGTACAAAGACAGGGCGCCACTGCCTCTTCTAGACTGGCAGGCCGCTGCGGCAGCAGAAGGACGCGCGCGCCGTAGGTGCTGCCCCAGCCCCACCACTCCTCGGCCACGCACTTGCTGCGAGGCGCGTCGGGCTGTCGGCAGTGCCCAATCCCAAGGCCGAGCGTGTCCATCCCTAATTGCAATACCAGCAAGTTCTGACTACTCATTGAGATCAGCGACTACCGCCCACCCCCCAAGGCCGAGCGTGTCTGTGCCCTGGCACCCGAGGCCTGCGTCGTTCCGGTTTGACGCCCTCTCACGCACCTGCCGCGGTCGCCCAGATTCGTGCTTGCTGGGCTTACCCCCCCCCCCCCCTTGCTCCCCCCCCCCCCCGGGAGGGCCGAAGAGAGGCGCCCGTGGGGACCCCGCAATTCCCTTCCCCCCTCGGAGGGCCGGACTGAGGCGTCGAGGGCCCCGCTCTTTCCTTCGCATACCGGCCACTCTTCGGATCGCTGGTCGAGCGACCCGGGGGATGCCCCGCGCACCTGACCCAGGCGCCAGGCGAGAAACGAATCTGCGAGGCGAGGCCGCTCATGCGGCCCGATGGGGAGGAGCGGGGCGGACTACGGGGATCGGCTTCTTACACCGCCCTTCCCTGCAGCGAGCCCCCCTCCAACCCACCCGCGCTAGGTCTCGGGTTTGTTTGATTGACGCATGGCGGCATGGGGTCACTCCCGCGAAACTCACGTCGGCGGCGCCTTTGACAGGAAGAGCGACCGGCGCGGGCGCGTTGCGATCTTCAAGCAGACGTACAAGTCGTCGCCGACGCTGCAGGTCTTGCGCATCATCTCGGCGCAGGAGGAGATGTTCCACAACGGCAAGGGGCGCGGCGCGGCGCGGCAGAAGCAGACGGGCCGCTTCAAGAAGGTCAAGATCGAGACCGACAGCACCGCCTCGTACGAGACTGACCCGTTCAAGTCCCTCACGTCGTTCCTCTCCAACGCGAACGCGCAGGCAGGCGCGGGGGGGGACTGACTTCACCGACCACCGACCGAACTTATGTCCGATTTTTTGCTTGTGTTGTGCCTGGGGGTGGTGTATGTGATGCCTAGTACCTTTGCTGCAGCAAAATACGACTGTCGGGGGCGTCTGTGAGCCGACGGGACCCTTCCCGGGCCCCTCCGGGGGGGGCCCGGTGCACCCGGACTGCACACCTCAGTTACAGTAACCCAAAACAACCTGACGTGGCGGCGGCGAACATCGGCAAAGGGCATGTGCGCCTCGTTGGCGACTTGAAACTGACGAGCTCGCTTGCGTGCAAGGGTGGCGATCGGCTCGGCTGGAAGGGGGCTTTTGTCGCCTTCGGCAACACCGAGCGGGCGCTGCTCGACTTAGTGTTAGGGCATGCTGCATGGCCGCGGCCGGGAGGGGGGGGGGGAGGGGGGAGGGAGGCGGAGGATGCAGAGGCGGAGGCGGCGGCGGCGGAAGAGGAGGAGGGGGAGAGTGAGGGGGAGGCGGAGGCGGGGGCACCTGTGACGGCCCGCTACGAGAAGGGCGAATACCGGTTCGCGCGGGAGAAGAATTGCGACCTGCGTTTGCTCGACTTCGAGACGTTCGGCGGCTTCGGGGACGGCGTCCGCAGAATTCTTCGGCAGGCGGCGGACCAGCTGAGTAACAAACTTTCGCACGCTCAGCACCTCGATGAGGTCACATGGACCACCAAGAACTGGCACGGGCTGCAGATGCAGCGCTTGTCTGTCGTTCTCCACACCGCCGTGGCGTGGCAGACGGTGAACGAGCTAGCGTGCGGGGACAGCGGCATTGTGCACGGAGCTAAGTGCATTGCCGTTCTTAACGGAGTCGCTTAGGCGGCTCCGGTGGTGTGCCGAGGACATTGCAAATCTCCCACGTTTGCCAGCCCCCGGAGCCCAGCGCAATCTTGAGCGAGGTTCCTTCGAACGCAACCTCGAGCGGCACCGTCACCGCGCAGTAGACGACCAGCAGGGCCATGAGCATGGTCCAACTCGAGCAGAACCACCGGTTCGGGTGCAGAATGGGTATGACGCCACAGCAGCTAATCGCGACTGTGAAGCAGCCGAGGCAGCCTCTCCTGCCTCGCTTGTCTGTCGAAAACGACGCGATGGATCCGGCAAGGCTTGCGTCCATGTCCTCGCAGCCTGCCATCTTGAGACGGAGCTTGTCAACCATACCACGGACGACCTTGTCGCCTCGAAGGGCGACGGCCCACGGATCCTCCTTCTCCGCCTTGGTGATCTTGTCCACCTCGGCCTGCAGCTCACCTTTCAGCTCGATCTGCCCCTCCATCGCAAGGACGCGCACCAGGTCTTTGAATTGATCAGCCGTGAGGGCATCGTTCTTGTAGTCGTGAGAAATCATGATGCGCTGTGCCTCGCTCGCGTCAGCCTCGCGTCCTCCAGAAAGAGCGCCGAGCGAATTCAGCGCCGCCGCCACCTCCGCGGGCTCGAGCAGTCCCGACCCGTCGGCATCGAACTTTGCGAAGCTGGAGTGAACCTGCTGGATGGTCATCTCGAGATGCTGCTGCGCCGCCGCCACCTCATGTGCGGCATGCGCCGGCCTCCAAGGCCCTCTCTTGTTTCGGCCTGTAGATTCCGACCCCGCGTCTTGCGCTGCGCTCCCCAGCTGCGCGCCGGCCGAACGCAGATAATCCACCACGTCGAGGTGTTGGTGGCGGGTGGCATCGTTCATCGGCGTGCCACCCCAGCGATCCCGAGGGCTGTGGTCAGCCTTGAGCTCGCCCACGAGGAGGCGGACAACCTTGAGCTTCCCTTCCGACGCGGCGAGGTGCATGGCCGTTCGCTTATCGTAATCGGCGGCGTTGACGTCGTAGCCCTTGTTGCGCACGAGCTCGCGAAGCCGCTCCAGGTCAGCTCGAGCGGCCGCGTCGCAAAGCTCCGCCGCAGGACCATTGTCGGACCTGATAGGGCTGCTTCCGACCGGTCGGTGGCCTTCGTCGCGCGCCACTGCGCTCCCCAGCTGCGCGCCGGCCGAACGCAGATAATCCACCACGTCGAGGTGTTGGTGGCGGGTGGCGTCGTTCATCGGCGTGCCACCCCAGCGGTCCCGAGGGCTGTGGTCAGCCTTGAGCTCGCCCACGAGGAGGCGGACAACCTTGAGCTTCCCTTCCGACGCGGCGAGGTGCATGGCCGTTCGCTTATCGTAATCGGCGGCGTTGATGTCGTAGCCCTTGTTGCGCACGAGCTCGCGAAGCCGCTCCAGGTCGGCTCGAGCGGCCGCACGGCACAGCTCTGTCGCAGGGCCGTCCGGATCGCCGCGCATCTCGTGGCCACGCGCCCCAATGGACTCGAGGTAACGTACCACATCGAGGTGCTGGTGGCGCTCTGCGTCGTTCATGGGTGTGCCTCCCCATCGATCCTGCGGGCTGTGTTCGGACCCGAGCTCCTCGACCAGGAGCCGGACGACCTGGAGGTATCCCTCCGACGCGGCGATGTGGATGGCGGTCCGCCTATACAACCAGTCGGACTATCAGCAGAGACGGACTCATACCGCGCCGTGTCAACTTCGTGTTTGCTGCTTGTCGTAGTCCCCGGAATTAACGCAGTACCCCTGGATAAGGACCATCGTACGAAGCCGCTCCAGGTCCGCACTAGCAGCCGCCTCGCACAGCGCAGCTGCAGCACCTAGCCCAGTCAGCCCACCCGTAGGAACGGGCAGAGGGAGCTGAGATGCAAGCTCCCGCTGCTTCGTCAGCTTTGCCAGCGCCACGGCCTTTGTCAAGACGCCCTTCCATTTCGAGGGCTGACCACCGACGCGTGCCCCCGGCGGATTAACATATGCGCTAGTCGCAGCTTCCTCACGCCCAGGGATGATTGACGAGCTGGAAGGTGGCTGGTCCTTGCTGGCAGCGACGGCAGGTAGGTCGCCGTCTCTTGCGGTGCCGGGGTCAGCTCCAAAGATGGGAGCCGGCCGGTGTGGTGGCCGCCGCGGCTCCATGGGAGCTGCACTGCACCCTGGGCCGAGGCAAGGTTGCGACGAGCGCCGTGCAACGGTCGGGCTGCCGTCGGCTCCGGACGCGCAGCGAGCGAGGAATTCGGCTGGACACAGACGTTTCACGCCGAGGTGTACAGCATGAGGAGTCCAGATGAAATAAAACACGTTACAGAGCTTTAGTACAGAGCTAGAAAGAAAGGGCGGCGCCGGCGCAACCATCGCCCCGTCTCAGCCCAGTCGTGACGGCTTCTGCCACCGCCTCCCCACCGCGCCGCTCCGCCGCCCTTCATTCACACCTCCCCCAAGAGCTCCTGCGGCGCTTGCTCACGCGAAGCATCGAAGTAAAGAGCGACGCCTGCTCGTCGTGATCGCCTTGCAGCATCGGCCACGCCCTGCATGATAGGGCACGAGAGCGTCCGTCGCTCTGCCTCTGTCAACAAGTGTGGCGTCGACTGCGGCAAGGATGTCTGTCGCGTCGGCAGCGCCCACGCGGGGCGACCACCCGATGGGTCCGAGGCCTCTGCCTCACTGCACGCCGACACAAAGGGGACCGCCGGCGCAGCCTCCGAACCCCCAACCGTTAGCTCCTCCGCCTCGGAATCCGCGGCCCTCGCTGCCGCCTCCGCCGCCACCTTCGCTGCCTCCGCCACCCTCGCTGCCTCAGCGCGTTTGCGTTGAATCAGCGAGCGATGGGAGTCGGAGAGAGGTGGACCAGAGCTCGCCGCCTCAGTGCAAATGGCGTCGTACTCGTTGGCTGCAATTTGAGCATTGGCCACGCCACCTGTCTTGAGAGTCATGTTTGCCGCCGAGATGCGCAGCTCTCGCTTCCGGGTTAGCGCAAAGGCAGCGGTATACGCGTAGGCTGCGAGGGAATGTTGGCCGCCAGCGTTAGAGCTCGACCCAAGTCTCGTGAGCTCGCCGGCTGTCGTCGCTGCAACGGACGGGTCAATGCGGAGTGGTGCAGACACGACCTCAGAAGCCGGCCCAGACTCCATCATCGCCAGCGCGTCCCCTCTCTTTCGCAGCACCATTGCATGTGCTATCGGATCAAGAGGTGGGCTCTGCGAAAGCAGCGCATCGAACTCACTGCATGCCTGCTCAGGCTGCTGGAGCTTCAGGCGCATATTTGCCGCAGATATCCGCGCCTGGACACGGCCGCCGATGGCGTGCGCAGCGTCAAAGAGGGAGGCTGCACTGTCAATGGCACCCTGCGCATTCGCCGTCTTAGCCAACCCGGTCAGGCGAGCGGCGAGATCCGCCATTTGTAGGTGGCCTGCAACGACACTTGCGGTCTCTCTTGCGGGACGCGTCCGACAAGGTGGGTGGAGTGCTTTCACGCGCGCTTTCATGCTGCCGAAGTTATTAATGCGGGGAGCGGGGGGCGCAGTAGGGCGCCAAGGGAGGAACAGAGTCCACGTTACCTCTTTTGCGAGTGACGAACCTGGCTACCTCCGATCAAGAGAAAAAGAAAGCGCGGCTGGAACGCTCATGTAGGATCGCGAGCTCTTTCTCCGTAAGTAAGCTCGACCTCTTTTCCTATGTTGAGACTCGATGCTGTTCCTGGGGGCGGCCTGGGTGCGTGGATGGTTGCAATGACACGGGCTGGGAGGGAGCTGTTGGCGATGTCGGAGGCGGTGGGAGCGGAGGATCGGAGGAAGAGCCGTCGGCTCGCAGAACCCAGTACCCACCGGTCTGTGTGCTCTGGGTTCCATTCTGTGAGTGATGGGTCGGCGTAGAGGAGTTGCACTTGCTCGACAGCCCCGATAGCCACTGTGCACTGACAGCTACCGATAGGTTGGGGCTATCGGATCTACATATTGATTTGCCTCCTTTTGTGCAAAAAAAGAAAAAAACTCAGACAGCTCGGCTACTATTGACTTGCACCCTGTGGCCGCAGAGTATTTCTGTGCACTTCCACGCGGCTCGTCGATCGCGCATCGACGCTGACGGCGGCGGCGACGCTGCTCCATCGCCCTACGAGCGCGTTGCCGTCGATCGCGACGCCATCAGCCTCGCAGACGGCCACTGCCGCGCCGAGAGGCACGCCGGACGACGATGTGGGCGGGTTGGCAATCGTGTTGTCGCGCACTGCCGCGCTGGCCGCGTTGCCGACAGAGATGGCCAGGCCACGGAACCAGCCGTCGAAGCGATTGTCCGCAACGGTGACTCTGCGGACGCCACGATACGTGAGGCGGCGGAAGGGCGCGGGCTGCCCTGCATGCGGCCCGACGACGGCTGTGGCGACCACCCCGAGCAGTGACGGAGCGGTGCCAGTATGCCACGGGTCTGTAGCGCAGCGGCTGTTGTTCACGAAGGCGTTGTGCACGATGGTGACGTTGCGCGGCATCCATCCCATGCGCGCCTCCTTGGGGTCGTCGTAGTCGTCGTCGTTGATCAGCAGCACGGCAGCAGCCGGGTTGTCGACGAAGGCGTTGTGCTCGATGACGCCGTCGCGCGCCATGCACAGCACGCCGAAGCGGCGTGACGCGATCGTGCTGTCAGCGATGCGGAAGCCCGGACCGGTGAGGTTGTCATTCGCCCACAAGCTCGTCGCGTCGCAGGCGATGCCATCGAGCGGTTCGGCGAAGCTGACGGTCGGCGCGGACGCCGGGCCTGCCGCGGAAAGCACGGTGGCACTCGCGGCGGGCAACCCGCTCGTGGCCGTGGGAGTCCACACGCGCATCACGTCGCCTGGGCGCGGAAGGCCGATGCCGCTCAGCGTGTACGACTCACCGACCTGCCGCGTGCATACGCCGCTGCGCGTCTTGACGATGATCCCGTCGTCGCCAATGGCCACGAGCCGTGAGCCGTGGACGGTGGGCCCGACGCGCGCGTCCAAAACGAACACGCCGTCCGCATTGGTGCTGTGGTAGCGCCCTGGCGCAGGCGCGACTGTTGCGTCGCGCACGACGAGGGCGCTCGAGCCCTCCGCCACGAACGACGCGCCGGGCGACGCGTGGATGCTCACGCCCTCGAACGCGCACTCGCCGCACAGGCTCAGGCCGAACGTTGGCGACTCGTAGTAGCGCGCAAGGTGCACGATTGGGTCGCCGACCTCTGGAGGGACGACGGCATCATCTCGCGACTCGAGTGGCGGAGGCACCGCGCCGGCGCCGAGGCGTGAAGTGCACGTCCTGCTGAGCTCGAGGGGAGAGCAGAGCGTCACGTCAAAGACGCCGCCGCCGCGATCCGTCCAGTTGGCGACGACGTGCAGGTTGAGAGTGCCCTCCTTGTGCCGCGTCGGCGCCGCACGATCCTTGACCAGGGCCCAGCGCTCGGCCCGGTACGCGCCAGACGCGACAAAGTATGGGTTGCTCAGCATCGGAAAGCCGTTGTCGATCTTGAGCGAGTAGCGCAGCGGCGAGCGCACCGCGACCACGCGTCCCTGAGTCATCGGCAGAGGCTCATAGTCAATCGTCAGGTTGCTCACGAGAAGGCGCGTGGCGTTTGTGACGCGCAAGAATCCAGCAACCGGCGTTGTCACTACAACCGTCGCTCCGCAGCCGTCGATGCGCAAATTTGCAACGTTGGATACGCTCAGCACGCTGCTGCCAGCAGTGCCTGAGCTACCGAGCCGGTACTCGCGCAAAGCAAACAAGAGCGCAGTGTTCGCCGCGTGCGCTCGCGCGCTCGCGGCAGCGGCGTCGAGCGCGGCCTGGACAGACGTGAAGTTGTCGACGTGCAGCACGAGCGCGCCCTCCGCGCGAGCAACGCAGTCGGGCGGCGGCGTTGCGAACATACGGCGGTGCGCGAGCGCCGAGGCTGTCAGCGCGCGTGCTGGGGTAGCGGCGCAGGCCTGCTGCGCGAGCGGAGCCCGGGGGGAGGGGGGGGGGGGGGCCGCTCGCTGGTTGCTCTCGTGTAGGTCTCGAGGTCTCGAGGTGGATATCCTTTGGCCGCGTTGGGTAGCCCTCCTTTTGGTATATATACTGGACCTAGTCTGCATAGACCATAGTCCACACGTACGCGGGCGCGGGGACACGACCCATAGTCGTGGCCGTGTCCCCCGTCTTAGAGCCCTAGCGGCGAGGCGCGGGACCGTGCAGTGGCGACTCAGAAAAGTAAAGGCGGCCGCCTGACAGGTGAAGGGTCGAGATGGGCGGCGCCCATGGCGCCCTAGCATGGGCCTCTACTGACGAGGCGATCTCACTTTTCTGCCCCGACGATTGCTCTGTGGTGTGCCGTTTGCTCCTCAGTCCTATCTCTGCATCGACATATGATTAGCGCTCCGTGTTTTCCCCCTACAAAGGACGTGCCCGTACATGCACACCCCGCAGTGGCCAGTAGCAGTACGCCATGCACAGACGAGAGCGAGACGGCCCAGACGGGTGCACCCCCGCGCCCGTAGAGTATCCCCGTAACCGTGATGTCGGGCGGCGTGTGGGCTGCTGCGCTGTGGTGCCTCGGTGGCACGTCGCCGTCCCGACACACCCAGCCTCCCGCGCCGCGCGTTTCTTTCACGTTGGCGCGAGCGGAGGGCACCAGCGGCTCGGACACCGACGAGACAGCGCCGCCGCAGCCTCGTCTCGTGCCTGCCGTGGCGATGGGCGACCTCTCCGTCGACCCAGTCACCTTCTGGGAGCGGCTCTCCAAGCTCCACAAGACGTGGAACGTGCGCGGCCGGTGGGCTCTACACTACCATACCACGGTCAACACTGCACGTCGTCCAAACTAGCATCTTCGCAAGCTGGCGGGTCGGGGGCCAACGGGGCGGAGCCGAAGAGAGCGCGGCGTTCGCGGAGCCGTCGCGTCGAGCACAAGCACGTGTGCACCTCGATCAAAGTGTCGCCGGTGGCGGCGATGTCGACGGGGTCGAGGGTGCAGAGCGCGCCGCCAGCGTGTATGTCACGCTCGCAGCGCAGGCCAAGCGCCTCGACCCCGCCGCCGGGCGCGCGTGCAGTCGCCGATGCGGCGCGGTACGCCCCAGGCAGCATCACAGTGGCCAGGAGGCCACGGACAGCTCCGCTGCCGGTGTTGGCGAGGGAGAGGCTCAGGATGCCAGAAGGGTCGTCGAAGATGGCACGCCGCGCGATGATCCGCGGCAGCGCCACGCTTATGTTTGTGACGTGCGGCCTCGCAAGCGCCGCAGCGGTGATGATGCCGTCAAAGAGTCGCTCTGAGTGGGAGAGGGATGAGAAGGTCGGAGTCTGAGCGCGGATCTACCACTGTGCGCCACAAGCACACCGATTAGCGCGTCGTCATAGACAGAGCCGACGGCCACGTTGGCTGTGGTGACCATGAAGATGGTGCCGTCGCGATCGAATGTGCGGTCCGTGTCGTTGTAAAAGTACGCGTCGGGGTGGCCGTCGCCGTCGGTGTCCACTGCTTGCGCCATCGTCTTCTCGAAGAAGCGCATGCCCTGGGCGACCCGCCCGTGCGCTGGCTCGTCCCCGGGCCAGCCGCCCAAGCCTCCGAGGGCGTATGAGGTGGACAGCGAGGGCGTCAATTTGAACATCTGCAGGACTTGGTTGTCGTCGAGGAAGGCTCCGTCGCCCGGGCTGCCCTCGAGCGACTTCCAGAGCAAGTTTCTGGAGATGTTGGCCCGCCCTTGCTTGATGAAGCGGTCTGTAGTGGGGTTGGAAATAGATGGGCAGTGGGCAGTGGGCAGAGTGATTCAGGAGCCATGAGGGAATCAGGAGCACACCGGCTTCTGCAGTACGCGGCGCCCACGCGCGCATCCAAGCGAGCGCCCACCCATCGAGGCCGGGGCTGCCAAGAGCCGTGAAGAGGGTCCGGTTGAGCACGGGGTCGGTGGAGCCGGGGTGGTCGACCAGGTAGATGGCGCGGAAAAAGGACGGCTCAGAGATTTCCGGCACGTTCACCCAGCCGCGTAGCGCGGTGGTCTGCAGCGTTTCGAACCACTTGCCGGACTCTGAGGTGTAGTCGCGCGTGCTCGGACTCGGCGTCGCTCCGGACGCGACCTAGAGCGGGGGCAGCACGCATCAGACGAAGCTACACGAGGCGCGGGAGCGGAGCGCGGCGGACGATCACCAGTGAGGCATACAACCGTAGCGAGGCCGACGGGTGCTGGTTGCACACGACGTATACGATGCGCGGCTCGCACGGGAAACCGCCCGTCTTGCTCGCATTCATCTGCGGGCAATGCGTGGTATGTGGCGGCGAGCTGTGCAGGGTTGCTCAATGTTTGGAGTGCGGCTGAGCCTGACGATGCAGTGCGTCCATCAGCGAGGAGAGGGTGTAGTGCACAGGATCCGGCATGACGCCGAGCGGGCCCTCCCCCGCCTCCACCACGCCGGTGGGGTCGACCAGCGCTTCAAAGGCGGTGGCGTTGGACAGCAGGCTCAGGTCTAGCGAGAGAGCATCCTGCTGCTCGTCCTGCGTCGGCCATCCGCCCTCAAAGTGCCACCCCTCGGTCGAAAGAGAGGGCTCTGCCGAAAAAGCCTCGTACAGGGTGGCGGCCTGAGCCAGGTGCGCCGAGTACATCACGTTCTCGTTGAATACTGGGTCGGGGCAGCGGTGCCGGAGAAGGTCGGGAGGCCAGGGCCGGTCGAGGGCGACGGCGAGGGCCACGCTGATCTGGCACATCGCCGTGTGGGTCCACCTGCACGGCCCTTTCCACGGCCTCCCGCAGTACCCACGCGCCGCCCAGTAGGAGTAGCTCGTTGGATGGAGGAGCCGCGCCGTGGCATCGCGAAGGATGCGCGCGGTTTGCGCTGGGTGGGCGGGCGTGTGTGCCGCGCCGAGCAGGGCCGCCGCGTAGGCTGTGAAGGCGAGCTGGTAGCGCGGTGCGCTAAAGCCGGGCTGCGAGGTTGGCTCGAGCGCCTCCTCGTCCCACGGCCACTCCCACGAATAGCCGCCGGGCGAGGCTGCCGCCTCTGCCGCCGTAGCGAAATCGCGCGCTCCCTTTGTGAGAACCGAGAACCAGTTGAGGAAGCCGAGCTGCTTGTCGGTCATGCCTGCGCCCGGCTCAGAGCGCAAGCTCGTCTCTACGCTGTCTGGGTCAGGCCGCAGGTCGATGAGCGCCACGGCGGGCGTGGCGAGCAGGAGCGAAGCCGCGGTGGTGCAGGGGAAAGCAGTCGCGAGTCTCGCGTGGGCAGCCATCGCAGTCTATAAGCGCGCTGCGGCTCCGGGACCGGGGGCAAAAACGGCGGTTTCGCGTTCCGCTTTACCCCCGCCGGCTACTCTTCGGGCGTTGTCGAGGACAGCGATGGCGACAGCGACGAGATGCCTGCTCGTGGGAGGGTGCGTCGCAGCGCTGCTGCTCTGGCGGCAGCGCCGGGCCGTGCGTTTCGCGCGCGCCAACCTGCTGCGTTGCAGCATGTGCGGCACTCTGCGTGCGCCCATCGAATTCACGCCGAGGCAGGCGCGCCGAGATGGGACTATGCGAAAGTGCAGACCGTGCGTGGCCATGTACGTGGAGACACCAAGGTCCGCCGCGGACAAGGAGGCTCGCAAGGCAGCGCGTGCGCTCGAGCGCTCACAAGCGCTCGCGGCGGCGGAAGCGGCACGTGATGCCGTGAGTGCTGCGCAGGAGGCTGCAGCAGACCGCATAGAGGATCCGCTGCGTCTCGCGAGCAAGGCGGAGACGGTGTTGCGTGGGCGGAGCGATCGCGTGCTTCTGGTGCTCGAGAACTGCAGCGACGACCTGAACCATGTGGCCGTGTTGCGGACCGCCGAGGCTCTCGGCGTGCTGCGCGTCTGGCTCGTGCAGCGGCTATCGGCGCCGCTGCCCGCAGACACGCGGCCCTCGCCAGCGCCACTCGACGCCACGACCGCGGGTGAGGCGGTGGAGCGCGCGCAGCTGAGCCAACGCGCCAACAGTCGCGCGACGCGCCGGCTGCAGGCGCGCGCAGCGCAGCGCGGGCTGGACTGCAGCTCGCTGCTCGGGTCGCGGCAGGCGAAAGTCTACGCGTCTCATCTCGACATTCGCGTCTTCACGTCGAGCGCGGAGTGCATCGACGCGGTGAGGGCCGATGGGCGTGCGCTGTGGGTGACAGACTTGTCGCAGGAGGCGCTCCCCCTCACCTCCGACGTGGCGGCGCTACGGCGCGCGCTGCCTCCGCGGCTCGCGATCGTCATCGGCTCCGAGGGCGTCGGCGTCTCAAAGGTCATGGTCGACGCCGCCGACGTGCGCGTCTTTTTGCCCATGTGGGGCTTCACCGAGTCCTTCAACATCTCCGTCGCGACCGCCCTCGTCCTCCAGCGGCTCCTCGACGCCATGCCCGACTCGCGCGGCGCGCTGCCGCCCGAGGAGATGCAGCGGCTGCGCACGGAGTGGTACGATGCGCTCGCGCGGACGGAGGAGCAGCGCGCCGCCTTTGCGCGGCTCGCCGAGCGAGGCGGCGCGCGACCTCTCCGCGATACGCGGCGGCCGGAGGCGCACCGCGACGAGCAGCGAGGGCGCACCGGCGAGAAGCGGCGCCTCTGGAGTCGTGGCGTCGGCGCAGAGTGACCTGTCGTGTGTAGGCGCTATAACGGCGTTATTTCTTCTGACTCGTCATGCAGTATATTGCTGTACCCCCTCGGCGTGTGAAACGTCTGTGGGTCCATAGACTGGTTGGGTAAAGGGGAAGGACCCCCGGGTTGTTGCACGAGTATGTATGTATCTAGTGAGAGGACTCGAGATTGGTTCGAGATTGGGGCAGAGCGAGTGGGAGACTTTTCGGCGGGCGAAATGCGGCGGTTTGGATGCGTCCCCTTTGGGACGACCTGTTGGTACGACCTGTGGGACGACCTGTGGCAGCGACCGATGCCGTCACCGGACGCGGCGGCGAGGCACACGGGCGCCGGCGTGGCGCGTCGGCAGGCCCACCACGAGCGGATGCGCGACGAGCGCGCTCGGGAAGCGGCCGCGGGCGACGCGGAGCTTCCGCCGGAGGACGACGCGGTCGAGATGGCGAGCGCCGCCCAGCTGCTGGACAGCGTGGCGGAGGTGGGCCCGAACTACACCCTGCTGCGCAGCAAGGAGACGAAGGCGAAGCGGCGGAAGCGACAGCGCGAGGATGCCAGGGCGGCGCTCGACGGCCACACTGTCCTGTCCACCGGATCGCGCCTCGAGATCTTCTGCGACAGTGAGCGGTGGTACCCTGCGACCGTCATGGCGCGGGAGGAGGACGGGGACGGACGGATCGCGCACCAGGTCGAGTACGACGGCTACCCGGATCGGCGGTGGTGGCACATGCTGGACGACGAGCGGTGGCGAGCCGTCGCAGAGCAGGCCGGCGCGGGCGCAGGAGGCGCCGCCGCCGACCAGACCGATTAGGCTCGACGCCGCGCTCGCGCTGTGGGGCTGCCACAAACTCGCCGCCGAGCGTGCCACCGACGGCGTCCCGGCGGAGGTGATGGAGTGTGAGACCTGAGGCTGCGGAGGTGACGCCTGAGGTACCGGTCCGTGCACAGCGACTCAGCCGGCGACCGCCACGGGCTCAGACGAGACTTGTCGAGTCGTTCCAGCTCAGCTTCACCGTGGTCCTCGGGCGTCTGTCGACGTCAGGACCACCCATACAGCTCGCGGGTTTGAGGTCGCAAGAGCCAAGATGGTGGCGTTTGGACATCCCAACCATCACACAAGACAGCCTGTAGGTGATGGCGGGACGGCGCAGTGTTTGTGGCACTCGGCAGTAGGCACCCGCGGCACGGCCCCGCTGTCGGCTCTCGCGGGCTGCGGAACCGGACCCAGAAAGGGACGGTCCGGGCGAGTGTGGCAGCTCCTGCGCTAGTATGGGCACCCTCTATTATAGCACTACTGATCCTGGTCATTAGAGCTGCCAGGGATAGCGTCAGGAGCTGGTAGGAGTCAAAACCCCTCATATTTGAGACATCGTGTCCCATATACTCGTGCAACAACCCCCCCTGAGTTGAACAGGGGTTGTGCGCCAAGCCCTCCTGCTCGGCTCCAGCGAGTAGACAAGTGTTGTCATCAACAGAGTAGAAGGATCTGACCTCGGGGCCGATGTGACCAAGCGCTGGTAGCATGGTTTTACCTCACACCCATGGTCTCACAGTGTGCCGGCAGTCGCCGAGCAGTGTCGCTCACACAAGCCGCAGCACAAGTGACTGAGGGCCAGTGAGGGCGAGCCCATCGGTGTGACAGCTATGGCAGCCACACAGTGGGCTGTGTCATCTGTGCAGAGTGTGTGAGCAGCAGAGGAGCTTCACTCCAGGCTTCAGGCGCAAAGAGCTGCATGCCACCGAAGGCGCTGTCGAGGTTCGCCGAGCGCGGCACAGGTTGGAGGACACCGTCACCGACGAGCGCGTTGGAGTATTCACTCCGGACAAAGACGGCCACACGCACACGAGCTGCGGTCGTGTGGCCGTCATAGCGGCGAGGCGCGGGACCGTCTGTGGCGAAGTGGGTCGCGTCCTCCGATTTCCGTCAACTCACGGTCCTTCCCCCGTACTCGAAGGGAGTAGTAGTCTTGAGCACTTGAGCACTGGATAGGGCCGATTCCGCGTGGTACGGGACCCCTCGATCGTCTCGCCCTCCCTCACTGGTGTGTTCATCGGGGGGGTCATAACAAACACGGTACAGGATCGAGGTGCACGCCGCCGAAGCAGTGTCGTCCCCCCTCTCCCCGACGGCGATGGCGGTGTGACCGATCGAGCTACAAGAGGAGCTTGTTCAGCAGGATCAGGAGTGGTCAGATGCACTACCTCACTGGGCATGAGACCACCGTACGACGCATCCATCACCGTCTCGGATTTATGTGGGATCGAACCACTCCGGGATGGGGCAGCCCCATCGAGTTGTGTTTTCCTCGCCATCTGGTTAATTGTCAAAATTCCTGTTGTGCAGGAGGGGAGGGGGCTCTGACGGAGTGCATGGCGGGAGAGGGCAGGGAGTGGGCGCGGGGGAGGAGGGGGGGGGCTCAGCCGTGCAAAAAGCATCAATTAATAATAGTAAGGAAGACATGTTGCCCGGCCGTTCAAGAAGTCCGTCTCGATTTTCGTTTTTTTCCCAGACCACTCGGGCAACTTTTACCGAAAGGCAAAGTTTTACCTGACCACTCGACCACTCGGGCAACTTTTACGAAAGGCAAAGTTTTACTTGACCACTCGGGCAGATTCGATTGCATTTTACCACTCGGGCAAACTCGATGAAACGGGCGGACGGAAACGCGTTTGCGACGGCTCGCCGGAGAGCATGCATGGAGCGGCCGGTGCGCCGCCGCAGCTCACCGATGGAGCCTGCGTCGCGGCTCAATCCACTGACGTAGCAGCACTGCGACACACTCTCCAAGCACGGCCTCTGGCGTTGCGATTGCACAGAGAGCGAGCAATAGGCGCCAAAAGCACAGATCTGTGTGCAGTGGATTTCCATGTAGGTCGCGCCCAGCGAGCGGACAACCGCGGGTCTCGGATGCTCTCCCGGACGCGAGCCCATCGTGCGAGTGGCGGACCCGGAGGCGGCCGGCCCAGCTCACCCCCAGAGAGGCCATGGCCAGGGTCAGGCATAAAAGGGGGGTGTTTTTCCGCCCGTCCAATTCCGGTCAGTAGTAGTCTAAGTTCTGAGCCTCGACGCCTAGGGCCTAGGCCCTACCCCTAGCGGGTCTAAGTGTGCTTACTGCTTAAAAGCACGCTGGGGTGCTTGCGCGGTCTAAGATCAGCGGGAGCCTCTTACATCGGCTAAGTCGGCCGTGGCACGGCCTGTGCGCTGTGGATGGAGGGCCAAGAGGCTCTCCCACCCGTGATCGCTGATCGATACGGCGCTCCGCCCAAATTTTCTCCGCCTGCGGCGGGCGCCTACTAAAATCCGGGGCGATTGCATCCTCCCCTTCCCCGATTCTCGTTGCTGCTTCTTGAGCGCAATCTCTAGCCAAATAGCCTCAAGCTCAAACTCAGGCTCAAAAAATACGAAAGAGCTACATTGGCGGGTTACACTGAGAAAAAAGTGTGAGCCGGACGGCTTTCATTTCTCTCTGCGTTCTCGGATCTCGCACATGGAGTCCGAGGTATCCCGTCTGTCGCCGTCCCAAGCTGTCACTCCCCTTTCTCCCGGCCGGGGTGGGGGGCGCGCGGGGGCGGCGGGTGTGCGGGATGTCTGTGGGCCCGAGAGCGATATGCCATGTCCGCGTATTGCGTTTAAATTGCAATAACATTGATTGTTTGATGGGAAGGCGAAACACAGTCCGACCAACGACTGGGACACCAACGGGCGATCGATGACGGTCACACAGGAGCGACACACAGAACCACAAGACAAGACACTCAGCCAACAGGGCGGCTGCCACACATCCTGAGCGTCCCGCGGCCGGACTCCACAATAACATCGAAGGCTCATTGATTGATTGAATGGGAAGGCGAAACACAGTCCGACCAACGACTGGGACACCAACGGGCGATGATGGTCACACAGGAGCGACACACAGAACCACAAGACAAGACACTCAGCCAACAGGGCGGCTGCCACACATCCTGAGCGTCACCCGCGGCCGGACTCCACAAAGTGAGTGAGTGAGTATTCTTGAGACACACACACACACACACACACACTCCACAATAACATCGAAGGCTCAGCTAAGACTTTCCCGCCTGGGCGGGGCGGTGGGCGGGCGCGCGGTGCGGCATGGCGTGTGCGTGTGCGCGACTGTGCAACGAAGGACCGCTCGCAGAGGACCATTGGGTTTGTACAAGGTAGGTAGGTAGAAAGGTGAAGAACAGCCAGGCTCGGACTGGACACCAACGCGGTATGGGTGGACGCTGGACAGATGATGACGACACGCACGAGCGACACACAGACACAAACAAGCTCACAAGACACACAGCCAGCTGGCTGCCACACACCCTGAGTTGGCGTACACATAACTCAAGGCCACATCCTCCCTGTCGCCCCCCCCCAGCACTCCAAGGTGCCAAGAGAAACAAACAAGGGCACAACAAACAACAGACGACAGGAAGTGACATGTGAGGCTAGAGCAGCATGCTCCACCTCTAGCAATCTCTCCGGCCGGCGAGGCATGGGCGAGACCGTATGTGGGGTCTAGTGAGGTGTCTATGGACGCCCTCCTCTTGTACTATTAACAACGAAGGCGCTCTCAAAAAAAAAAGGCGGCGGCTGCTGCTCAGGTCAATCCGCCTCGACCGCTGCTCCGCCTCCGCCCTCGCCGCATGCCGGGCGCGACGCCCGACACCCCCTGCCGCGTGCATCGGCTCGTCGTGCGCGGCGCAGAGCAGACCCACGAGTCGGTCATTCGCAACGAGCTGCGCGCACTACGCACCGCCTCTAACCTCGGCGAGATCCACGCGGCCTGCGCCGTCGCGGCGGCCCACCTCGAGTCGCTCCAGATCTTCGAGGCGGCGGACTTCGCGGTGGATCGCGCGCGGGCCGACGGCTCGCAGGGCGACATGCCGCTGGCGGACGTCGTGGTCACCGTCTCGGAGAGGCAGCGCCTTGCGACTGCCTCAACCGGAGTCCACTCCACGGCGGGCGAGGGGTCGATGGACGCCGAGGTGCGAGTGCGCAACCTGTTTGGCCGCGCGGAGGTGCTCGGCGTCGAGATGGAGGCCGGGCAGCACAAGAGCAACACCTTTCGGCTGTACGCGACAAAGGCGCAAACCGCCGTCGCCACCGCCGTCGCCTCCTCCGCCGCTGCCACTGCCGTCGCCACCGCCGTCGCCACCGCCGTCGCCTCCGCCGCCGCCGCCGCCGTCGCCACCGCCGTCGCCACCGCCGTCGCCACCGCCGCCCTCAGCGCATTGTCCCTCCCCACCGCTGCGCTCACACCCCGACCCCCGCCCTCGCCTCCGTAGCCTCGCTGGGGCGGGGCCGACGCGAGGCTGCACGCAGAGGTGTGCAAGACGGTCCTCTCGCACCAGCGAAAGTCGTCGCGCTCGGGGGATGGGCGCGCGGAGACGGAGGGCCGTGAGTGGAGGCGGGCGGGCGCTGCGAATAGGTCGTCGTACTCGGAGAAGGGGCACACGCTCATTAACAGTTAGTTCATCATGAGCTAGTTTAATGAATAGGTCGTCGCACTCGGAGAAGGGGCACACGGCAAGCGTGAGCGCCGCCGTCGGCCATGCGGCGCTGCCGGGCAGCCGCCACGCGTGCTGTTGTGCAGACCCTTTCAGCACGAGTGAGTCCTCCCTCCGCCGGGCTGGTTCCGCAGGCGGCTGCCACGAGGTGTCGTACGAGGCGGGGCTGCGCGAGGTGATGTGCTGCCCCGCGCATGAGCTAGCCCATAGCTAGCGGCGGAGGGGAGGGGAGTCGTCGGGGAGTGGCTGCGTCGGGCGCGCCGCCAGTTTCTCATCCCTTGTCTCACGCCGCACGCGCCTTTCGCCCTTTCGCCGGGCGCGCGCCCGGCGTGCCATGCGATTAATTAACTGCTACTTCGTCGCGCCCGGCGTGCCACGCGATCAATTAACTGCTACTTCGTCGCGCCAGGTGTGCCACGTGCCAGTCCGAACCTCGTCGTGGGCGGTGCTCTCGCAGCGAGGCGCCGCCCGAGTCGCGGCAGCCGCTCTCTGCTCGTTGTGCGGGCGCGCCTCTACTCCGGGTGCTCCTCGATGACGGCCCTAGGCGGCTCGGACAAGTCGTCGCTGAAGCACTCAACAGAACGAGGATCGGGACGATGAGGGCCAGAATAGGCCTCTCGGCAAAGTCGTCGCTGAAGCACTCAACAGAACGAGGATCGGGACGATGAGGGCCAGAATAGGCCTCTCGGCAAAGTCGTCGCTGAAGCACTCCTTCTCACGCGCGTCGCTCGACGACGCCATCCTCCCCACAAGGGGGGCCCTCCTCCGCCTCACCACGGAGGTGGCTAATGAAGAGTTAATGAACAGTTAATTAACAGTTAATTAATCAGCTGCGCCTCACCACGGAGGTGGCTAATGAGGAGTTAATGAACAGTTAATTAATCAGCTGCGCCTCACCACGGAGGTGGCTAATGAAGAGTTAATGAACAGTTAATTAACAGTTAATTAATCAGCTGCGCCTCACCACGGAGGTGGCTAATGAGGAGTTAATGAACAGTTAATTAATCAGCTGCGCCTCACCACGGAGGTGGCTAATGAGGAGTTAATGAACAGTTAATTAATCAGCTGCGCCTCACCACGGAGGTGGCTAATGAGGAGTTAATGAACAGTTAATTAATCAGCTGCGCCTCACCACGGAGGTGGCTAATGAGGAGTTAATGAACAGTTAATTAATCAGCTGCGCCTCACCACGGAGGTGGCTAATGAGGAGTGAATGAACTGTTCATTAATCAGCTGCGCCTCACCACGGAGGTGGCTAATGAAGAGTGAATGAACTGTTCATTAATCAGCTGCGCCTCACCACGGAGGTGGCTAATGAAGAGTTAATGAACTGTGAGTGAACTGTTCACTAATCAGCTGCGCCCCACCACAGGTGGCTGGCCTCGGCGGCGTCGGAGACGCTGCCTTCCAGAAGCACACCGCCGAAGCGCGCGTCCACACGCCCCTGGCGGCGCTCGGCTTGCCGCAGCTCTCGCTCAGCGTCGCCGCTACGCTCGGCCTGCTCTTGCCGCGCCGCGCCGCGCCGCTGCCCGCCACCGGCGACTCCGCGCCGCCGCCCGCGCCGCTCATGCGCGGGGCTGCCTCGCGACACGCGAGCTCGAGATGACGCGAGATCACTCGAGATTGCACCGAGATGTAGGCCGCCGCACGGGGTCTTTCTGCCGGACCGCCTCTTCCTCGGCCGACAAGCCTCCGCCCTGGGGGCTATGCTGCGGCCATGGTCGACGGTCACCATCATTTGGGGACCATGTGGCAGGCGGACCAAACTCGCTCTGGGGCTTCCGCACCCACGGCGTGGGGCCGCGCGAGCAGAGGCGAGATCGGCCGAGATCGGCCGAGATGCAGCCGAGATGCAGCCGAGACTGGCCGAGATCGGCCGAGATTGGCCGAGACTGGCACGGCGTGAAGCCGTGCGAGGAGAGGAGATCTCGACTGCCCCTGCCTGCCTGCCTGCCTGCCTGCCAAAGACCGCCCTTTCTCAATCTGGTTCCTCAATCTGGTTCCTCAGGCACACGTCAACCGGCCTGCCTCATGCCAAGACACCCTGTGATTCGCTCGGCGGCGAGGCGCTCTCTCCACCTCGGCTACTCCTCTCCACCTCGGCTGCACCTCGGCTCCACCTCGGCTGCACCTCGGCTACATCTCGGCTACATCTCAGCTACATCTCGGCTACATCTCGGCTACATCTCGGCTGCCTCTCGGCTGCCTCTCGGCTACATCTCGGCTACATCTCGGCTGCCCCTCGGCTACATCTCTCGCCCACCTCTCGCCCACCTCTCGCCCACCTCTCGCCCATCTCTCGCCCACCTCTCGCCCGCGCAAGGTGCTCGCCACAAGCTCGCTCTCGCTCTCCGCCCCGATGCCCGGCCGGCAGTTCGAGAAGCTCGGCGCGCGCGCTCACGCCTTCGCCTCCGCCGGCGCGCCGCACTACCTTGCGGCTTGGCAGGGGCCCTAGTAGGAGCCAGAGCCGGACTCCTCCACCAATCACTCACCACAGGCGCGCTGCACTCGCTCGGCGGCCTGACAGGCAACCCCAA